CATAGGCTGATGTGTAACATGGGATGGCAATGATGTTTCATTAAAGACGACTCATAAAGGGCTTTTAAAAACCGTTTCGCTGTTCATCAACATATGCCATATATGAGTAAACGTGACAGATGATATAGAAAGTATGATACGGATAGAGATAGCCGACTAATCAATTACAAAAATTGCCTTAATTTGATTGCCTCGGTTGCGGCGGCTTACGCCCTGCACGCATTCTGATTATTAAGAAGGTCATTCTGGTCAATTCAGAGAGTTTAATCATCCTTTTGGCGACTAAAATGAAATTTGAAAAATCATTTGACAGCTGATTAGTTGACATCAACGATGATCAGTGTTTCAGAAACCGGGCGTTAATGTCACATCTACCTCTTATTTGAGTATAACATCATTCGAAGGTGTCTCGTATAAGATGTCACAAATTGTAACTGACATTGTGTAAACAGAACAAGCAGAACAGCTATATATAGTGTTTTAATTAATTTGCATTAAGAAAAAAATACGACTCTTTGGCCGATCTAGAAATTTCTCCCCGATCCGTTTCTGTTTGTACAATGACTCTGCACTATATATGAGCAAATGCTATTTCGCGCTGGCTCACGTAACATTCATCGACATAAACAATGAGTCGACGTGTCGTGTCGGTGACGTTTTACCGTGTCTCTGATAAACATTTCCCGTTGAATATTACATAACATATACAGCGCGGATAACTTAATATGGGGCACTTTGTTAGATGTTTGATAATCATGTGAATTGTTTTCCTATCAACAACATTAACTATTTTCAATGCACGTATGTTCCGTTATGCATTAGTTTTATATAGACAGATAGATAGATAGATAGATAGTCTTTATTTGTAAAAACATGGTATACATACATTGCATGCAAGATATTAAATATACATTGTCCTATCATGTCCAGGCCGTATGACGGCATACAAATTGGTTACAAGAGATGGTGCATTGACCGCAATATTGTTTATTATAAACTTTATACTATTGCCAAATATAATCACATGTCATTATTCAGTCATAATAAAATTAATTACGAAATTGATTAATAAAATTGTTACAATAAATAATGTCAATATTAAAATAACAGATGATAATTCAAACAATTTACAATTTTTAGTACATAATATAATGCAAATTAAATTATATTAAAAATTCTTTAATTGTCTTTTAAGATCAAGAGTACTTAATTCTTTCCACGATTTGGGCAATTTGTTAAATATTATCGGTGCCATGCAAAAGATGCTCTTACGCATAAAATCAGTTCTAGCGCCATGAAGGCAGAGCCTGAACTGTACACGTCTATTCCTAGGTGCTACATCAGATAAACTTGAAATAAATTGGAATTAGACCTAATAAACATAACTGTTTCTATGATGTATAAGGCGGGCAAAGTCAATATTTTAAGTTCTTTAAAATGTGATCTGCAACTATCTGTTGTTTTAAGTGCTAGCATTGATCGAATGCATCTCTTCTGCGCCCGAAAGGCCATTTCAATGTTTGTGCTGTTCCCCTAAAAGATAACTCCATATCTTAGTGTTGACTCTGCTAACCCATAGTAGGCTGTGATTAGCGCATCTCTGTTAAGAACCACTGCAAGTTGTTTTAGTGCGTACGCTACACTACTTAATTTTTTGCAAACTGTCTCTATTTGAGTTTTCCAATTTAACTTATTGTCTATTACTAAACCTAGAAATTTTGTTGTGTCAACTTCATTAATATTATTATTATCACAATTAATATTAAGATTTTCAAATTTATGTGTCCGTTTTCCGAAATGCATTATGTATGTCTTATTTAAATTCATGATCAAATTATTATTATTTAACCAATTTTTAATAGATATTAGTGAACTTTTAATATGATTTTCGTATTTATCTTTGTCTTTGCATGCTCTAGTCACAGTACAATCATCTGCGAAAAGTGTCATCGGTTGTTCAGTTGCTTTAGGCAAGTCTAAAAGGCAATATATAAATTGAACAGGAGGGGCTCTAGTACACTGCCTTGGGGTACTCCATAAATCACTTCACGTTCCTCTGATCTGAAAATTACTTCTTGTTTACTCCTCTTATTAATAGCACTAATTTCAGTAAACTGTTTACGGTTGCAGAGATAAGATTTTATTAGAGAAAGAATGTTACCTCTCATACCATACGCTTCTAGTTTGTCTGCCAGAGATTTGGAGTAGACGCAGTCGAAAGCCTGTGTCATATCACAAAATATAGCACAAACGGGGATTCTTCTATTTGTATTTACCATGACGGTGTGTAGGAATTGGTAAATAGCTAAATTTATGCTTCTGTTTTTTCTAAATCCCTTTTGTTCATCAGTTAAAATTTGATATTTTTCTAAGTAATTAGTCATTGCAATATATATATGTATTTCAAACACCTTAGATATCACTGCTACAAGTGTAATTGGTCTGTAATTTATCATTAATTCTTGACTTTCTTTCTTATGTAATGGTTTCACTATGGATTTCTTTAATGCATCAGGAAATCTGCCTACATTTATGCATAGATTAATAATGAAACATAAATGAGTACACACCACAGATGCAACTGCTTTCAATATATTTGTAGCAATGCCATCATGGCCAACGCACTTAGTATTTTTTAAGTTCATTATTATGTGAAATATGTCATACGGTGTAGATGGAGCCATAAACATGGACTGTGCTCTGCTTTTAATAAATACCGTAGAATTAGTTCCTGCATTGATTGTAAGTTGGGTTTTATTTATGAAGAAATTATTAAAAGAGTTTGCTATGTCCCTTGGGTGTGTAATATTATTATTTTCTGTTCTAATGCACGAAATAGTATTTTTCGGAATATTCAATTTATTTTGATTAATAATCTGCCATGTAGCTTTAGATTTGTTATTGGAGGTTTTAATTCTGTGATCATTTTGAGCTTTTTGTGTTAAATACATAATTCTTCTAAGTAATTTCGAGTAATTTTTAAATTTATCTCTATTTGCTTGTTTCGGCTTTAACCTATATTGCCATAGAAGTTTTCTTTTGTTTTTGTAACATAGCTTTATCCCACGAGACACCCAATTCGGTTTTTTCATGATATTTATGGTTATTAACTTAAAAGGGAAACATAGGTCATAAAATAATTTGAAAGTTTCTATAAAACAATTGCAGGCTGCATTTGGCTCTTGCATTTCGTACATGTCTGAAAAGGATAGACTACTCATATATGCTTTAATTTTTTCTATATTTTCTTGACTGTACTCTCGTTTAGTTTTACGCCAATATTTGATAGCACACATTTTTTTAACCGGACATTTTAGTAGTTGTGCTGTATGATCAGATAGCGCGAGTTCCAACACCTCAGCTTTGCAACTGTTCTTAAAGTCATGGGCAAAATTATCTATGCACGTTTGACTCACAACTCGAGTAGGTTGTCTTAATCTTCTTCTTCTTCTTCTACCTGGCATTAATCCCGGCTATTGCCAGGGTCTGCCTTCCTACTTAAACTTCTCCACTTTGCCCGGTCTTCGACATCCGCAGGGGTCAGTCCATTGGCTCTCATGTCCTTTTCCACGACGTCCAGCCATCGCTTCCTTGGGCGTCCAGGGGGTCTAGTAGGTTGTCTTAATGCTAGTTGTAAATTAAAATGAAAAAGAATGCATTCAAATTCCGTTGATATTTTGCTTTCTTTTAAAATGTCAATGTTGTAATCCCCAGCTATAACTATATTTTTACATCTTTGTTTAGATAAATACTTTAACATATTTTCAAGTCTCTCAAAGAAATCATTAATATTGTTCAAATTAGGTACTCTGTAAATACATACTATTATAATATTATAGTCAATCAGTTTAACCGCACAACATTCTAAATTGCTTTGCGATGACATTTTTGTGACATTGATCAATTCTTTCCATTGTACACCATGCTTGACGTGGATACGTGCACCTCCTCGTTTACTTTCCTGTCTACAATAACACGCAGCTAAACTATAGTTAGTTAGGTTTAGCTGATTTTCACAGCCAGACATCATAAAATGCTCGGAGATGCAAATAACGTCTATGTCAACACCCCTTTCTGAGAGATCACTTAAACATACCAAGAGTGCATCAGATTTATTAATAAGTCCGGCAATGTTTTGATGCAATACACATAAATAATTAGTCAAGAAAAAATGTATTATTATTATTACTCAAGTATATAACTTTTAGGTATTACAATTTGGTCCTTCCGACCTGATTCTAATAATGTAGCTGCTTTTGTACTACCTAAAGCATTGATTTGATTTCGGCCGAAGTTTAGTGGATTCTCCAAAGTTTTGTCAGAGTTATAGTTCTACAACTATTCGACACTTACTCCACATTATTACTATACCATTCCATAGATATTGTAGCTTACCATACTCAGTTGGTGTATTGCGTTTTAAATCAGATGCGATCAGATCAAGAATAATCCAAGCTGTAAGAGTTCCTCCATTGTTCATATTAAATCAATAATTTCCGTAAATTTATTTCAATCACCGTAGGTCATGATCAAACCGACAAAGAATCAGTAGATTCCGAAGATACTCCGCTATTTGCTATTTCAATCGACGTAATTAATAGAAATCTTTCTTTTATCGTATTCTGTTACAAAACACTGAGAAAAGCTATTAAAGAAGTAATGGCTTCATATTTATGTATATGCGTTACAATCGCATACAAACTAACGACATTGTTTGATAACCGCCGCTCATGGACGACTAGGATAACTATTTTTTAGTTTTTTAACATGTACATATGTATTCACTCGTATTTACAAAAGATTCGACAAATAATCAACGGAAAAAATATTTAAGTATAAAAGAAATGTTGATGAACATCAATTACCTAGTACCCACAGCACAATCTTTATTCAGTTTAGGATTAGATAACGGTCGTGTAAAAAAACGCAATGTATGTCCTGTCCTGACTATATAGCTAGTTATTTCTTCGTAGTTCAATTCCGATTGTTTCGGTGTGTAGGAGGCGATCTCATACGGCTGGGAGGTGCCCTCGCCAGACGCGATCAAGATCAACTGGTCCGCGCTGACGGAGGCGGTGCAGAACCACATCAAGTCCGTGAACTGGGTGACGAGGGTGGACCTCAGGGACAAGAAGATCGAGTACATAAACGGCCTCGGCGAGTTCAAGGACCCGCACACGCTCGTAGCCACGCTGAAGAACGGCACCAAAAGGGAGCTGACTGCGAGGAACATCGTGATAGCGGTCGGCGGCAGGCCCCACTACCCGGACATCCCCGGCGCCCTGGAGTATTGCATCAGCAGCGATGACATATTCAGCCTCGGCCACCCGCCCGGGAAGACGCTCGTCGTCGGAGCCGGATGTGAGTGGTCTCTTTTTCTCGTTGCCACAGTGCCAGTTTTTGTATGGTAGAGTTTGAGGGGTCAGTTGGACACAATTGGACACCGTGACAGACAGTCGTGATAGCTCCAGTGTCCGGGCGCTCGCCTTTAATTCAATACACTCGAGCAACCCGAGTTCGATCCCCGGTGCCGGCACCAATGAAAAGTTTAATTTCAAGTGCTGACTTATCACGTGCTCAGCGGTGAAGGAAAACATCGTGAGGAAACCTGCATATTTTCGATAGCAAATAATAGCAAAAAAAATATTTCCAAGATATGTGAAGTCCGCCAATGCGCAGTGGGGCCGCATGGTGCATTATGCCCCGATCAGGGTATCGGACAGAGGATATGTACAGAGGAGGCCTTTGCCCAGCTGTGGGACATGTAATGGCTCTACTTTTTTAACGTTAATGAAAGAGCACGAGTGAACCAAGGCTGACCTCTATTCTGTATTCTGTTCCCACGTTTCCTTTAAAAATATCCACACGCAGTTACATAAACGAAATACCTACAGGTAGCTCTTTGTATGATACGTGCAATTAAATTATAAAAAAAATAGACGCGATGTATTTCACAGCTTTCGTTAATTGACTTTCGTTGGTGTGGCATCCAGCCTTTTAGCTTCGTGGTCAAAACGTCTGGGCGCGAATCTGGAAGACGTGGGTTCGATTCTTGCAGCGGCGGATAACTCTTTGTCCATTTATTCTACGAATTTAAATTTTTCAGCCTAAGTGCAGGGCATTAACACTATAAAATTTATAGTTACGTAGAATGTTAGTAATAATGAAAGTTTAACCATTTCATGTCTCTTTATAAATGTCAATAGCACCTCTATCTCACTATCAACTCGCAATTAGAAATCAGTACCGATTAAAAATTCAATGGTGACACTAGTAAGGTGCCGGTGGCAGCTATGAGAAACGGCACGTCTCTTGATGTTATTGTTTGATATATCATATGCATGATATATATAAATGAAACATAATTAGCATAAAATAGTCACTTTGTTTGAATTATTATTCATAAATCGTATATATTTTAAATTGAGATAACCGGCCGACTCTCCGCTTTTCCATAGCGTAGACCTTCACAAAGACCTTGTGTTGACCAAAGGTCAGTAGTGAGAAAAAAAACATGATTTCTGGTTTCACATACTACGTGGTATTTTGCGTTCATGACTCCTTGTCGCAGTGCCCAATTATATCCATTGGCGGCGGTGACCGCTTACCGTCGGGTGACCCGATTGCTAGTTTGCCTCCTTTCACCATAAAAAAAGAAATACTAATTCGCCTAAAGATATCACCACACCATAGGTCGACGGGCAAAAAATGCCTAAAGGCACTAAGTCCGCCTATTGTATTCGGAATTCGAGGAAATATAAAAGAAATGGTTATTTTACTAACGAAAAACAAAACCGAATTCAAATATCTCGCTCTGTATTCATTTTATAATTGATTTTCACGAATCCCCTACGTATCTCCGGAGCCCAAGATCCAATACCAACGAAATTAATATGGGACCACATGGGAAGCACCAGCTTTCAAATTAAAAAAAAAGAATTGACAAAATCTGTTCACTCAGGAAAAAGTTCTGAGGTGACAAACATAAAAACAAATACAGTCGAATCGAGAACCCCCTCCGGTTAAAAAGGAACCTGTTCCATAAAAAAAAAAAAAAAAAAAAAAAAAATCCGCCCAAAGATCTCACTTCACCATAGGTCGATAGGCAGTAAATGCCGAAAGGCAGTTAGTCCGCCTATTCCATTCCGAATTCGAATAAAACCAATAAAGACTAAATATATACATATTCAGCGTGTCTTTACCATCGCGTCAATAAATGCACACACATATAGAGGATAAGTTTTTAAAATTGTATTAAAGATTTACATTCCTTAAACATCAACATTTAACGAGTTATCAAATTTTCCAAAACAAAGAATTTAAGAACACCCTTACGTATAAAACTTTAATGTAAAGTTCATTTGTAAAGGTCACAAAGCATATGAATGGGTTGAATGAACTTAAAAGAGACAAAACATACTGTAAACGGGAGAGGCTTTTGATGCGGCGCTGTGGCAACCAATGAAAAGGTCTCTGAATGTATGAATCAGTCAGTTGTAGTTGTATAGGTTGTTACAAATTTTGTTTCTTTTTTACTTAATTAGTTTGTTTGAAAAATATTTTTTTTAATTATGGATTTTTTTTAACGTTAATATTTTTTTATGATTAATGGCAAGTAACGTGAGACATGTGTTCATTTATCGTCCCGGCGGTAAAGACACGCTGTATATTTATTTTTTATACATTTTTTGTAATAAATAAAAAATTCACACTCTGCGACAATGATCCCGACAGACATCGGGCTGGAGTGCGCCGGCTTCCTGAACTCGCTCGGCTTCAGCGCCACCGTGCTCGTGCGCTCGGTGCCGTTGCGCGGCTTCGACCAGCAGATGGCGCTGATGGTCACCAACGAGATGGAGGAGAGGGGCGTCGCCTTCCACCACAAGTGCATACCGCTCTCCGTGGAGAAGCTCGAGTCGGGGCAGCTTAAGGCGCGCTGGCAGAACACCGAGACCGGCGAACAGTGAGTGCGCTAGTTGAAAAAAAAGCGGCCAAGTGCGAAGGGTTCCCGGTTCATTGTATGGGAGCCCCACTCAAATATTTTTTGGTTTATTTTTTTTTTTTTTTTGCAACAGAAATATATGATGTGTGAATATTTCATGAGATACAGTCTGCTGACACGCGTACAGATAGATAGCAGGGTCTAGTAATAGGGTCGCGTTATATTTATATAACAAAGAAGCTAGAGTTTACATATGAAACAGCGCTACTTGTCTTGTTGTTTTTTATGTGGGAAAGTTGCAAGCGAGCTGGCGGTTCGCCTGATGTTAAGTAATCACCGCCTGACCGTAGGGTTGCAGATGCATTGCCACCTCCTAATAAAGTGGGCCCCAGCTACCTCACTCACCGGACGAAACGCAGAAGTGCTACACTTCTACTTCACACCGGTCTCCTGTGAGGTCATGTTCCCTTAAACATTACGGTGTAAATTTGTGAAATGAGGCCGAATTGAATAATTTAAAATTCATTTATCACATTGTTAAAACTCGGTTGCTATTTGCGACGCAGGGCGGAGGATGTGTTCGACACGGTGCTGATGGCGACAGGCCGCTACGCCCTAACCAAGGCGCTCAACCTTCCTGCTGCAGGCGTCACCGTGAGTCTCCACACTGAACCGTCTACTTTCCTCTGTCCGTCTGTGTGCTTAGAATATGGCACTAATAAAGCACGAATGATTGGCACCAAGTGGGATAACCTTTCATTATAATTGGCTAATACTATCGGTTGTTTTGAATGCGTTGTGAAATCTAATAAGCCAATTTCATTAACCTGGTGTTGAGTGGTTACTCCCGCCCATGGACATCTTAGTTTGGCTAGGTGCAGATACGTTATCAACCTTCATAAAAGTCTACTGTGATCGCCTCACTCGCGAGACAAAACGCGAAAGCATAACGCCTCCACTTTACGCTGGTCTACGGCGAGACTGGCCGTTAGTTCAACGGCAGACGCCGCCACGTGACACTCTGTGCCCCCATCAGTACAGCGGCAGAAGGTATTGTGTGGCTTCTTTGGATACGTGATACTCTGTGCCTGGCAGAGGCTGCTGCATGGCCTCTCGATACGTGATACTCTGTGCTCGGCAGAGGCTGCTGCGTGATATCACTTTATATGTGACATTCTGTGCCCGGTAGGAACTGTTTTTCGTGGCGTCTCTTGATACGCGATCCCTACTCTGTTCTCGGCAGAGGCCATTGCGTGACCTCTGTCGATACGCGATAATCTGTGCCGGACAGAGGCTGTTTTCCCTGACTTCTCTCGATAAGAGATTCTCAGCGTCCGACAGAGGCTGTTTTTCGTGGTATCTCTCGATACGCGATACTCTGTGCCCGGCAGAGGCCGTCGCGTGGCCTCTGTCGACACGCGATGCTGTTTCTAATCGAGCGGGTGCACGGCAGGCGGTGACGGGCAGCGGCAAGATCGCCGCGCAGACGGAGCAAACGGACGTGGCGCACGTGTACGCGGTGGGCGACGTGCTGGAGGGGCGGCCGGAGCTGACGCCGGTGGCCATCCACGCGGGCCGGCTGCTGGCGCGCAGGCTCTTCGCCGACGGGCTGCAGCACATGGACTACGAGAACGTGGCCACCACGGTGTTCACGCCGCTCGAGTACGGCTGCGTGGGCCTCAGCGAGGAGGCCGCCCTGGACAGGTGCGCGCCCACAAGGGGCCTATGTCTGGGCTACTCAGTTTCCAGCCTCAGACTGAATCTGTTGTAAAAACTGTGATTCGGAGACGACCATCACTTCAGAGTCTTGTTTCGAGTGCCGACAAAAATGTCAACGAACAACGAAATCCTTTGTTGTTTTTTTTTTTTTCACAAAAGAAATTACTCGTAATTCTCTTTTTTTTTTGGTGAACTAAACACTTTATTAAAGTACCGCTTTTTGCACCACCGTGTTGCAGATACGGCGAGGAGTCGATCGAGGTGTACCACGCGTTCTACAAGCCGACGGAGTTCTTCATCCCGCAGCGCAACATCCGCAACTGCTACCTGAAGGCGGTGGCGGAGCGGGGCGGCGCGCAGCGCGTGCTCGGCCTGCACTTCGTGGGCCCCGTGGCCGGCGAGGTCATCCAGGGGTTCGCGGCGGCCATCAAGTCAGTGCCCGCACCGCCGCTATTGCTGCGAACTCCTATCTCTATCGACCCGCATGCCTCTCTTTTCTTATGTGCCTAGCGAGGAGGTGCTTACCCTCGCTCATGGACGCCTACTACACCTGAGGTCAGGCAATGCGATCAAGACCATTATAAAATGGACACCTTTACTTTACCAGACGAATGTCTTGTGTGATGCCGTATTACTTGTCCACTTGCCTATTCGTGAAACAACAGAGGCTGCTGCGTGGCCTACAGTGGCCTTACTTTATTCGTTGTTTTTTCGTCTTCTGCCACCCCCGTAAATAAAATGATTCATTTATTGTAATAATTCGACCAATGGGAGTGAGACAATATTATATGATGACCAAAGGATTATGATCATCTAGCTCCTGTTACTATTTACGTGCAGCTTGTGTTTTACAGCCTAGGGAATTCTGGAATCTGTTTTAACTTAAAAGATTAACAAACATCCATACATACAAAGTTTTAGGTGTATAATATTAGTAAAGATGACGTATACAATTGTTTTATTTATGACGAACGGACAAAGTCTAATATTTTACCAATGTTTGCTAACGTCGTTCAAATTGCAGATGCGGCCTCACGATGGAGCAGCTAATGAACACGGTGGGCATCCACCCCACGGTGGCTGAGGAGTTCACGAGGCTCAACATCACAAAGCGCTCCGGGAAAGATCCCAACCCGGCCTCCTGCTGCAGCTAAATCCAACCACACCACCCCACTCCCACTCTCACCCTTAGCATCAACTACAATCTGGCGCGAAGTAAGAAGAAGACAAGAACAAATTGGACAATACGCAACAACTTCATAAATTGATACTTTAATAATTGTAAAAAATATTATTAGAAAACACAAACCTTAAAATCCTATATATGAGTAACTTTTACTTTATTTCCAGAAACCAACTGGGTTTTGTTAATACTTTTCAATTTCAAGTTCGTAAAATTTGTTAAGGCTTAAAGAAAGATGTATGTTAAAATTTATAAAAAAAATCCTTGCCGAATTGATTGTTAATTTGTTTGAATGTCTAATGCTTTAAAGAGGTCACAAAATCGCGTCAGATGTCGCACAGCTCGCGTTGTTCAGTGTTTACAGTACAAATCGTATTCGTAGCGAATATTTAAAAAAAAATGTTATATTGTTCCAAGAATGTCGAGTTTATTGTTACGAAAGACCAAGGAATTCATAGCTACAGTATTATTTGTATCTTGCACCGGTAATTCCAATTATTTGTTATTAACATTAGTGATCAAATGGTTTCTAAACTCATTTTTTTTATTACCATTTTATTGCTATGTAATTGTGATTTTGAACTTAATAAAGTTATATATTTTATACGGGTCGGTAGTTTTGATTTCTCTTCCATTATTTTTCGTTTCATTTCTAATGATTTATGCGAATTTGTTAAAATTTTTCGTTAATCTGATATCAACATCAAAATTTACTTAGATACGGAACGCGGGTCATACAAATACGCGGGAACCGAACCCACAACCCCAACGTAGGAGCAAATAACTTAGCCACTACGCCACCGAGTTGATCTCAATATTATTTCTCAAAGGTGTTTTATTATCGGTGCGCCCTGTACTATAACTTCGTTCAAAAATTTCTAAGAGTTTATGATCATGTCATCTATTGACAGTTTGTTTTAATGAAATATAGCGAAGTAGACTAAAAAATGTTATTCTTCAATATTATTTTTATTCTTATTATGATAAGAAATACCTTTCTTTGATAATGACTTTTACACATTATACATATTACCATTGGGTGTCCTATAACATTCATAGCGAAAATCGCACGGGCTAAGAAGATACACTAAATAATTTATCACTTGTCCTCTCCTCTATACACCTGAGAACTATAACAGTGGAAAAATCCATCTATAGCGAGAATTATGAAATCGAAATTAGATCTTCTTTATTTCCTTAAATGCATAATCGGTACTGAATAGACAACAGAAAAATATTTGGTTTGTATATATTTTCACGCTTCAACGGCTGAACGGATTTTAATGGAATTTGGAATACATTTTGGCTTCAAGTTGTATCACACTAAGTATTATACAGAAAAATAAATATTATTTTTAAAAACCATGCAGGAGAAGTTACTGCAAAAAGCTAGTTAACTTGTTGATGAAAGCTGTTTCTTTAGGTTATCAAATGACCGGTGTTCTTTTTTCAGACGAAACTATTAAGACCTTAGATTATATACTTGGCAGGGACTTTTTAAGAAGTGACCAAATTTACACAGGAGTTTCAGACTCGGTAGTATAATCGTTTATTGAAATAAAAAACAAAGTTTTTTTTTTCAAAAAAAATTGCCACTCTATTCCCTAAAAAACAGAACGTGTTTACAATGCAGTAGTCATTCACAAATACCTAAATTTTACTGTGCAAGAACTTTTGTGCGTGTTAGTTATGAATGATCGCGCGTAAAATTAACGAGTTGCGTATAAATCACGCACTTATGAGATAAGTTTAAATTAATGTAATCAATTACTTACGAGTGATTTTAAATATTTATCATTTTTTTATAACATTATTTATGTCTAGAGTGAAATAAAAAAATGGACACAGAAAAGCCACCCTGTATAATTAGAGATTAAGACCCAATGAATAGCAAACAAGGCAGTTTTCGCAAATATTAGAGTGCGTGTGTATAGCATGGAAATGTTTATAAAACAGTGTATATTAATTAATAATCTTTAAGAAAATAGCTAAATAGCTTGGCATTTTACATTTATTTTTGAGTTGACTTTGCTAAAAAGGGTGTTAATTCTAATTCTATTTATTTTACTTGTCATACTTCAGCATGTTTGCTACCTTTACCTACTGCTCACCTCTGAGCATAGATAAAATAGTAATATACCTATGGCTCGGAGTCCGAGGCCCGAGGGTGCTCCATAGTGAAGGTGAAATAAATAGATACAGATGATAAATGTATACAGCGTGTCGTTACCATCGCGACAATAAATGAACACACGTCTTGCCAATAATCATAAAAAAATATTAACGTTAAACAAAATCCATAATTAAAAAAAAATATTTTTAAACAAACTAATTAAGTAAAAAAGAAACTAAATTCGTAACATCTTATACAACTCGCGCCACAGCATCGTATTACAAGCCTCTCCTTCTAACAGTATCTTTTGTCTCTTGTTAATTCATTCAACCCATGTCATATGCTTTGTGACCTTTACAAATGAACTTTACGTTACGCTTTTATAGGTAAGGGTGTTCTAAAATTCTTTGTTTTGGAAAATTTAATAACTCTGTAAATATTGATGTTTAAAGAATTTAAATGTTTAATACAACTTTAAAAAGTTATCCCCTATATGTGTGTTCATTTATTGTCGCGATGGTAACGACACGCTGTATAATACGAGCTATGAACAAAAAAAAAACATTTAAGTAGATACATATAATTTTTTATTTTAGATTACAATGCATTCGTATTCAAAAAAAATATGGTTCGTGACGTCACGGCTCATCGTTGGTGACGTATTTGCTCATCTCGGGCGTGGGCTCGCAGGGGAACCAGATCTGAGCGGTGGGCAGCGGGTAGTACGCGTGCGCCTGCACTAAGGTGTTGTCGAAGCGCCAGAACCGAGGGCCGCGGAAGAAAAACGTATCTGAATGTAGAGAAAATTTTACTTATTAAGAAGGTAACAGAATCAGAGGATATGTCGACGTAAGTAAACTGCTGCAATCTACAAAACTGGTAGCAATAATCAAATAACAAGTAGTGTCTTTCGAGTACAAACGGGATGGGACAGAAAGTAATATCCGGAGACTTTTCGCCTGATTCTCTAGGAACCCTACTTTTAAGGAAACGCTTCTGCAACGGTTCATGGGACGTAAACAAAAGTAAATCCAGCTCGCTTGCTACCTCCGTTAAGGGCGGACTACTTAAACCCTCTTAGTCTACCATCTCGTACCGCTGTGTGGGAGGGTTACTTAACGGCCTTCCAGTGAACATCTCAGACCCTCGAAGTGGGTGCCCAAGCCACGGCTACTAAGCCTCTCCACCACGACAGGGCGTAAACCCAGTTGGAGGGGCTCTCTTACTCTACCATCTCGTACCGCTGTACTGCACCGCGCTTGACTTACCCCGATTCCAGCGAACTACCAGTCCCCTCCCTCCACCACAACAAGGTGGGACCCCTTTTACTCTACTACTGCCACTCTTATACCGCCGTACCGCGCGTGACTCACCCCCCTTCCAGACCAAGGCGGCGTTGACCGGGTACGGCACCCTCCGCCAGGCGGACATCGGCTTCGGGTACCCCCGGTCCATGGCCGAGCGGCGCTCGTCGTAGCGCCAGAAGCGCTCCTCCTCCATCAGGTAGGTCTTGTTGTTGTAGTTGGACACGAAGGCGGCGGCCAGCTCGCGCACGCGCCGCGGCAGCCCATACTCGGCGAGGCGGCCGCGCCTCACCAGCCGGAATCGCGCGCTGAACTCCCAGTAGCTGCGCCCTGGGGGTTCAGTGTTCGCACTTAACCAGCCTTTGTAACCGCCTGCATATGCCCCACCGCTGAGCAAAGCCTTCTGTACAGGGTATTAGGGCAGTGCACCACACGACCGCACGCCCGTCCGCTGAGCAAAGGCTCTGTACAGTATTAGGGCAGTCCACCACGCGTATTGGCAGACTTCACGAAGGAATTAGGAAAATAGCAGGACTCCACGCGGCCCATATCGAGAGTGAAGCATATTAAACCGGTACCGCTTGTACATACATGCATCACGCACACATTTACATTGCCATTACGCGGAACAACGCAGTCTATGTAGGAACCGTTTGAACAGGGTGCCTAATTTCCCTGAGGAACTCCCGCTAAGAATAAAGAACAGACTATTTTACGATGTTTCACGCGACTCCGGAAGAAGTAGGTTCGATTCCCGCAGCGGTGAAGAACTTTTCGTCCATTTTTTCTACAAGTTTTAATGTTTCATCTACCCTAAAGTTTACCACTATAAAGACAAACTCAATATAAATTTTACTGGCAAAAAAGTTAAATGAATAACTGTATACCGGAGAAGACGACGATGTGGCCGTTCATCTTCTCGTAAATGGTGTGCGTGGAGTTGATGTGCTTCGGCAGGCCGACGAACACGTCGTGTATGCGGCGCGGGTAGCCGGGCTCGATGCGCTGCCTCTCCGACAGGACCCACACCCACTGCCCACAACGACACTTTTTAATTGTTCGCAGTGGGACAACGATACCTTTTTAAGTGGCAGCTTACTTCTGTACAGAGGATGCCCAGCAGTGGCTGGGCATCCTCTGTACAGAAGGTATGACGGCATAGTCCACCACGGGGGTCGCCACTGCGGATTGGCGGATATGACGTGACAAATTATATTTTTTTGATTACACTTTCGAAAATATGCAGGTTGAGTATTTAATTTTATGCCGGCACGGGTGAACTCCGGTTATGAATTTCGACCCGTGTGCCAGTACCTGCTCTTTGTTTTTGAAAAAAAAAAAAGACATTGACAGTAATCAAATAATGAAGTCGGCTTTTAGATGTCGCGTATCGTGAACGTGCATTGTTATAATTTAAGCGCGTAAAAGTACAACCTGCAAGCTCTCACCTCCTCCTCCTCGAAGACGTAAATCTTGCCCTGTATGACCTGCATGGTGTTGTAGTTGGTGAAGCAGAGGTCGGGCAGGTCCTCCTCGCTGTCGCCGGCCTTCGTGAAGCGCGGCGCGGATGAGGAGCGGCCTGCGGCGGCCTCCGTGGCCTCGCCGGAGCCCCCGGCCTCGTTCACTGCGGACGGCGGTCGGGCCTTACAACTCCGACTTCGAGGGGCTCATGACTGATGCTATAGCTTCTACTGTAGCGCTAATGGGCCTTGTCCGAGGTAGTTTTAGCTTCTAGTGTTGCGCGACTTGGCCTTATCCGAGGTAGTTTTTGTAAGAAGAGCCCTCCAAGCTCGAGAGATTATAATTAGATTATATATTAACAGATTATCCCATCGATTCCATCATAATTATGCTTAACTATAAACCAACACTACAAAATAAGTCACGCGTTGAGACCCCATCCAGGTGATATAAGGGCACGAGAATGATGATCATAATAGCTTTGGACCGATCGAACAGCAGAAAAATATTCTGCTATTACTATGACACAGTGGGGCAGAGCTAAGCTAAGTAAATGGCTTCTTCGCCGGGGGTTGTCGGTTCGATTCTCACATGGGACATCTATTTATGTGACCCACAGATTGTTGACGTCAGTAAGGCGACCGGTCGAAAACTTAGCCTGAAACCACTTATGACAAGATCCACGTTGCTTTGGTGACAGACGGACAGACAGACAGTGAACAACGAAGTTGGGATGAGGGTAGGACGATAATGATGATGAACCTGATATTGCCTGTCTCTGTTGCTCCCGCGCAAATATATTGCCATCACGTTCGCACAGATTTAATGACTGCTGCCCTCTTAGAGAGCGTGACGGCAAATATGCGCGCGGGAACAACAGAGACAGACGATAACGGGTTAATGTTCGAAATTATTCATGATTCGGTTACGTCCAACCTCATTGGAAAATAATCACCCAGATCCGGAACAGTTATCTGTGCGTCACACCTGTCCCGTGTGCGGATCGAACCCACGTCTCCCGCTGCCGAAGTTAATACCTCAACGGCGCCTCAGAGTCGGTCGCCAGTTCGCGATCCGTACGGGAATCGAACCGAGCGTATACTCACGGTACAGCGCCTGCATGCCGAGTATGTCGTCCGTGTGCAGCCTCTCGACGGGCACCTGGTAGTAGGGGTACATCACTGACGCCCTCACGTCGGAGTGGGACAGCCCTAGCGCGTGGCCGATCTCGTGCACGGCGACGGCGAAGAAGTCGGTGACGTCATCGTCGCCCCCCTCCCCCCCGTCGCCGGGCCCGTCCGTCCACAGCTCGTCGTCGTCGAAGTGCATCGCGCCGTGGGGCGGGGGGAACGCGTGCGCGACCACGCGACCTGGCCCGTCAAAAGGAAACCTACGTTACAGAGCGCGGGGTCAGCGGCGGCTGGTCGCTGGGCCCCCGCCCGCCGCACCGGGCCCACACTATGACGGACTGCGTGCGATGGCCTCGAAAACATGTCCACCGTCATAGTACAAGCGCGCTGTGGTGGGGGGAGGCCTCATAAGTAATTTGGTAACTATATCTATGGGAGGGATGATTAACCTAGCGTTCGAAATAATTCTTATTGTGTGCTGAAGGATTCGAGGCTTTGTTTATTAGTTTTCATTTATAATTAATTCTGCTAAAATAATATTCAATATTGTAACGGGCTCGGAAGCCGCTACACATTTTAAAAAACTAAAGCTGTGGCTCACACACACTGTGTCATGGGAAATTATCCCAACATCCTTTCAACCCTTGACACGTCATGAATCTTCCGACAATGTAGAGAATGGATCAATTCGAATCTGACCTTTGGCATACCTAACGTATGTGTATATGTGTATGTGCAAGATTTAGAATGTGATCACGCAACAGTCTTCGCTGTTGCACGAATTGGCAATTCCAACCGGGGAAGTACCGGTCTTCTGTGAGGTCACGACCTCGCGTGAAATGGAAGTGTTATATTTTTGCGTTTCGCCTGGGAGTGCGGTAGCCGGGGCCCACTTTATTAAAAGGTTGCAACGCATCTGCTACCCTGCGTGTGTTGCAAACGTCGGTGGGCGGCGGTTATCACTTAACATCAGGTGAACCGCCAGCATCATTACATCAGCCTTCATTTGCTTACATAAAAAAACATAGTAACATAATCCATTTATAATGTGTATGGATGCGATTGTTGGTTTAAACCTTTAATTTCCAAAGTGGTGACCCCCAGGGGTCCACGGGAGACGTAGGTCTAAGTTAGATCTAATCTTTAAATTTTTGTCGAATTTTAGGAATATGGTTGAAATGTATCTTCAAGGGGTCCACCGGAACCAGCTAAATTTTGAAAGTGGTCTACGAGAAAAGTCTGAGAAGCACTGGCTGCAAGCCCTCATTGGCCTAAAGGGTCTGAATCTATTAGTTAAAAGTGTTGTTTCGCGTGTCAAATGTCCACCCACCCGTCTCCGTGGTCCATGCTGGCGAAGGAGACCTGGATGTCCGCGTGCCCGTCTTCCAGCTGCACGAAGCGCAGCCCCCCGTGAGGGGCCCACACCGCCAGGCCCTCGGCCATCAGCGACCGGACCCGCCCTATCTCCAGGGTGCTCGAACCGTTCAGCACCCTGAGGGTTTTTTTAAGGGTAACTTTCATTTCCGAAATTAACGCTAACGATATGCACTCCCCTGCGCAATCTTAACGTAAAGATGTTTGAGTTTTATAGGGCTAATCTCTGCACTTAAGATGAACCACTAAAATTTATAGAAAAACGTTACGAGTTTTTCATAGATGTGGTAATTGAACCCACGTCTACGGGATTCGCGACCAGACGCTTTAACCACTAAGCTAAACGGCTGATAGCCACGTTTTCGTACCTTTTTTCTATAAATTTTAATCAAGAAGATATTTAGATATTAGATATACATGGTCTATTGTTTATACTCATTATACGATATGTAATATCTTATCTCTCTATATCTCTTAGATAAAGAGTATGTAAAAAGCTGTGGTACATATTTAATTATTTAAGAGTAGGTCTGGTTTACCCTTTTTAAACTGTATACAATTTTATTAATGTGTCTATGATTAAACGAGACAATACAAAACTTAAATAAAACACGAAGTTGCGTACTCGCCTGTACGTAATGGTTTTCTTCCCCCACCCCTGTTGCAGGATGTACCTTCTATTCCGCTTCGGTACACCAATATCCTTGACGCCGCAACGCTTCTTCTTAAACAGCTATAAAAGAGACGATCAATTTAGAATACAACCTTCCAGGGATTTAAAAATAGAGTGTTTAATATTACCTTATACTATAATAAACCGCACATACTATATTTTAGTTATGTAATATAATCGAAGTTTGAGACTTTCGTCTTTGGCCCTCAAATGTTTTAATTTTAATTTAAAACAATTATATGGCGTAATGTTTTACATATTGTTTAATATATAATTTTACTTCTACTTTTGTTGTAGACAACAAACTTACTTTTTTTTTATTTACCTATGTCTTTTTGTGCAAGTTGTCAAGCGAGTAGGTGCTTCACCTGACGTTAAGTGAATACCCCCATAAATGGACATCTACAACACTCGATGGCTTACAAATACGTCGACAACCCTTAAACAAGTGGGCCCCGATTACCTCACACACTAGACAAAACGAGAAAGTGTAATACTTCGACGAAATGACGACGAAAGTTTAATTAACGCCCGATTGGCGTAGTGTGCACTGGCCCTGCCTCTTGCGCCAGAGGGTGTGGGTTCGATCCCAACTACTGGGAAACTACTATGTGATGAACATAGTGTTTTTCCAGTGTCTGGATGTTTATATATATGTTTATATACAGATTAGTATATTGAACTGATCCGGCAAACAAGATTTTGTGGAATTTCGTAAAAGGAATACTCGGTGAAAGGAATATTCCTACCAAATTTCAAGTCTCTACGCCTTATTGTTCCAGGGATATCGTGATGAGTCAATTATCGGTGGAAATCTCATATATATGTAGGCGTAGGATAAATAAAATCTTTATTTTGAGTATATTGTTACTATTTTCAGCTTTATTTAAATTAATACATTTTAAGACACAGATACAGGTTACTCGTTCGTGGCGTCGTTGCGAAAAGTCTCTCAATCCCTTTTACGTCATCCATCCTTCTCATTCACACAATACTTCGTTCAAAAATCATCTTTTACTCAACTATTAAATAATTAATCCTACAACTCGGCCATTCTGCAAATCAGTCTGGCCTCAGACTGAAGCTACTTTACCACAGTTATACTAAGTACTTAACATTTTTTTTCCTTCTTCATAGACGTTTTTTTTTTTTTTATGCGAAAAGTTGTCAAACGAGCAGACGGTTCACCTGATGTTAAGTGAATACCGCCGCCCATGGACATCTGCTACACTCGAGGGTTACAGATGCGTTGACAACCTTTTGAAAATTGGGCTCCGGCTACCTCACTCACCAGACGAAACGCGAAAGTATTTGTCATACTTCCACTTTACGCCGGTCTTCTTTGAGGTCGTGGTACTTACCCGGACGGGCCTGCCCATTGGTGCAACAGCCGAGGCTGCTGCGTGGCCCTACCACCGTAAAGTGTTTAAACATACAACAAAAAAAATAACAACACTAATTAGCTTATTCCTTTACAACCACAGGTAGTTTAGGCAGTTTTAGTAGATGTTTAAAAAATACAAAATTACAAAAACAATTACTTAATCGGTCAAAAAAAAAAACAATTTGTATCAAGGCCATCTCTTCATATAATCTGAAGCTGATGTAGTTCTTATCGGCCCTTCTTTACCTCTGTCTATTTTCTCTACCTCATACCTACCCCTTCCCAACTCCTTTGTAATTCGATATGGTCCGTAGAATTTTGGTTTTAATTTTAACGCAGTTCCAAACCGTACACGTTGTATAGCAACTAGATCACCTTGCTTGTACTTCTCTCCTTCTTTACGTCTTTTGTTATATGTCTTTCTATTCTCTTCTTGGATCTTTAATATTTGTGCCTTAGCCTCTCTTCTTGTTTCATCTCTTCTACTCATAAATTCGATTCTGCTTTCCTCTTCTAAGTATTCCATAATAGATAAATCTTCCTTCAGTTTAAGTTTCACTCCCGTTAACAATTCAAAAGGTGTTGTGTTAATTGATCGTCGATATGTGCTATTAATGACTCTTTGAAGCTTACTCACATTCGCTTATACCAATGGCCTGGTTCTTCTATACACATCTTTGTTAAAGTAGAAATAATAACTCTGTTCACCCTTTCAACTTGACCATTTCCGTGTGTTATTCTAGTGGCAATAGTGATATGTTTAATGCCTTCCTCTTGACAGTACTCTTGAAATTCATTCAATGTAAAAGCTACTCCTCGGTCAGTAATGGTTCTCCGTGGGTTACCATAATCTTTCTGGTGCAACTTTAACTTTTCTACGGTTTCCTTTGCTGTCACAGTCTTAACAGGATAAATCCAGACGAACTTTGTATATCCATCAATTACAGTAAGTATGTAGTTATACATTTTCTTAGTTGCATCTAATGGCCCTAAATGATCACAATGTAAAGTATCCAGTGGTAATTCTCCTTTATCAATTGGATTTAAAAAAGCCTTCTTTCTTACCAGACTTTCTACTCGCTAATAAACAGGGTACACAGGTAGAAACAATCTTATCGATTTTACTGTCTAGTTTTGTAATGTAATAATCTTTTTCTATTATATCCTTAATCTTCTTCTTCCCGAAATGTCCAATTCCATGGGCTTTTTTAATCAATTCCATATCCATCATATCAGGTAATACCAATTTCTTCTCCGGTCCTTTATAGATAACATCATTCTCTAAAAAATAATCTTCATATCCATTCTTTTCTAATAGTTTTCTGATAATCTTTAACCCTTCATCCTCTTCTTGTGCCTTCTTTATTCTCGCATGTAACTCAACATCAACAAAACAAATGTTTCTGCTCAATGCGTCAACATGTTGCATCTTGTCTCCTGTTCTATGTTCTATAGAACACTGAAAATCCTGTAAGTATAGTATCCATCGTGCTACTTTTGCAGATGCATCCTTTTTGTTCAAGGTTTTTTGAAAGGCTTCACAATCAGTGACAATTTTAAAGGGTATTCCTATAAGATGTCTTCTGAATTTCTTCAGCTTCAATAACAGCTAAAGCTTCTAACTCGTAACTGCAACACTTTTGTTGAACTTCTGTAGTCTTTCTGCTCATGTAGTGAACAGGATGTTGACAACCATCATTAGAGTCTCGTTGCATTAAAATAGCTGCATATCCATGCATAGAAGCATCTGTATGTAATTCAGTTTCCAAATGAACATCAAATATTTTCAACACTGGTTCACAACATAATTTTGACTTTAATTCGTCAAAAGCTTGTCTTTGCACATCCTCAAACTTAAACTCACCTTTTTTCAATAAATCACTTAATGGCTTCGCTATTAAAGCATAATTTTGAATAAACTTCCTGAAGTACGAAGTTAATCCTATGAAGCTGTGCAGTTCTTTCAAATTTTTAGGCACTGGAAAGGTCATAACAGCCTTTGTTTTCTCACTAGATGGTCTTATCGTTCCTTTGGAAATATGGTAGCCTAAGAATTCAACAGATCTTTGTAGTATTTGTGACTTCTTCCAATTTATTTCGAGCCCATACTCCGCTGCCACCTTCAGCAAAGCTTTAAGTCGTTCAATTCCCTCTTTTTCATCTTTTGAAAGTATAATTATATCGTCAATAAATATCAAAACCACTCCCGTTCTTATAAAATCCGCAAATATGATGTAAATGTATCTTGTAAAGTATTTAGGACAGATAGAAAGACCAAACGGTGCTCTTAAAAATTCATACTGGCCTTCAGGGTTACTCGTTACAAATGATGTATACTTCACCGACTCTTCTTCAATTGGTAAGTGGAAAAAGCCATTTTTTAAATCGAGTGTGCTATACACATTCACTCTACTCAATTTGTCAATAAGGTCGTCGATTACAGGTAATGGATGTTTGTCTTTCACCATTTTCTGATTTATCTTTCGATAATCTACGCAAACTCGTACACTGCCATCTTTTTTCTTTGTCAATACTAAGGGACTTGCATACTCAGAATAACTAGGACGAATGATGCCCATCTTCAACCAATCATTAACTTGCTGCTTCACTAATAGTTCTTCGGTTAAAGCTAATCTTCTAGGCCGTTGTGTAACTGGAATATCATCTTTTAGAACAATTTTCAGCCTAATGGGTGCATCTTTGGTCTTCAAAGGTACGTAATCATTTATAATATCTTTTACCGCACTACATTGGTCATCATTACTGGAAAAAAGACATATAGCATTTTGATATAAACTATCGTAACATAGAGGCCTAATTTCAACGGCACCTTTGTCTATAACCGTAACAGTATTTACTAAGAATGGTTGACCTAATATTACATCATGTGGCATTACATTAGTTGGTACAATATAAAAATTAATATTGTAATGGTGATCGTCGATAATTAATTCCGTGTCGAATTTACCGATTGAAAATACTTGTGAACAACCCAACCCGGTAAGCAACATTCTGACAGGTGTATATCCAATATTTAATTTAGAAAAGAAATTTAAAGTTATTAAGTTTAAATCACTACCCGTATCAATCAGACTGACGTTTTTGAAGTTGACACTGAATCCCCTTACTGTCACAAACATTTGATATGCAGGCACTCGCTCTTTCCTTTGGATCGCAACTCATTACATTTCGTTCACGTTCACCTTCTTCATTCACGTCCACGTTAGGGGAACTAGCGCCCTCTGATGTCAGCGTGGGATATTGAATGAATATCGATCGTCGATTCCGCTTTGCATGCATTTGTGTTATTACAGGTTCCGTTTTCTTACATTCTGCGCCTATGTGACCGAACTCATTACACCTAAAACATTTTACACCTCTTTGACAGGAACTCGACAGATGCACCTTTCTCACCGCACTTGTAACAACGTTGGAATGTCTGTCCTCCAGTTTCCCGTTGTGCCATCGGCTTCATTACTGTTACTTCTCTTTTGCTTATAGTACTCTTCTTGGTTTTCTGTTTGTAACTTTCATACAATGCTATTTTCTCCTTGAGCACTGAATAGGATGTAAACACCATAGAATAATAATTTGTTTGATTCGTAGTCGTTTATGCCATCGACTATATACTGTATGGTGACGTAGTCTGCAAACTTAGCCCTTTTTCGCAATTCTTTCATGACAAGCATGTATTGATAAACCGTTTCATTAGCTTGCTTTTTCCGATTACTCATCATTTCATGTATTTGTTTGGAATTTATAGTATCAGGAAACTCCTTCATCAGAGCCGTTCTAAATTCATCATAAGTTTTAAATGCTTTTTCCGTCTTCAGCCATAATTGTGCAGTACCAGCCAAGCACCTCCGCGCGATAATTAGCCGTTGTAGTTGGTTCCATCCGAAAATATCAGCGTTGTCTTCAATATCCTGCGTCCATTTTGCAGAGGAATACGTCATATCATCCCCCGTAAACTTAGGTAGGGAATCCATCAGGAAGAATGGATTATATTTACCATCGTCGTTATTGCTCTCCATCATCTTTAACCGTCGTAAATATTATCGTCGTTATTTTAAAGTGGCAATTAATAAGCTTCCTTTGTAACACGTAATGGCGGTTGGCGTACGTGATCACTTTCTCTCGTTATTAAAATACCCAAAAATCACTTTAAGCCCGTTATCCCGGACGAGAATTTTGTAGGCGTAGGATAAATAAAATCTTTATTTTGAGTATATTGTTACTATTTTCATCTTTATTTAAATTAATACATTTTAAGACACAGAAACACGTTACTCGTTCGTGGCGTCGTTGCGAAAAGTCCCTCAATCCCTTTTACGTCATCCATCCTTCTCATTCACACAATACTTCGTTCAAAAATCATCTTTTACTCAACTATTAAATAATTAATCCTACATATATATATATATATATATATGTATACTACGACCTGGTCATATGCTTATGGTTATTCTAATAACTCAGCTTACCTTCCTCGTCTGCTCGTCTAGATTCCCGGTGGGCGGGAGCCCAGCGAAACGTTGCATCTTCCTCACCGCCTCGGAGATTGAGTCCGGCGTGTAGGCGAGGTCAATGCCTCCGGCGACCACTTCCAAGTATCCATACCTCTTCATGAAGTTCAACTGGCGGGGAAACGTTTGTGTGTTCAACAAATGCCAACATAATGTTCTATTTATTCATTTCATTAAAAATGTACCATCCATACTAATCCATACTAATATTATAAATTTGTAAGTAACTCTGAACTACTGAACCGATTTAAATGAGATTTGGTTGTATACGGTGGTAGGGCCACGCAGCAGCTTCGGCTGTTGCACGAATGGGCAGGCCCGTCCGGGTAAGTACCACGACCTCACAAAAGACCTGCGTAAAGTGGAAGTATGACAAATACTTTCGCGTTTCGTCTGGTGAGTGAGGTAGCCGGAGTCCAATTTTGAAGAGGTTGTCAACGCATCTGTTACCCTCGGGTGTAGCAGATGTCCATGGGCAGCGGTATTCACTTAATATCAGGTGACCCGTCTGCTCGTTTGGCAACTTTTCGCATAAAAAATGTCTGGAGCCTGAGAAAGGGCATAGGCTATTTTTAATTGGAAAAAAAGTGTTGTAACATTAGTAGTATAAGTGCGAAATTTAAAAAGAAATTAAAGAAATGGGTCAATCAGGGCATGGGGCCCACGACCATATAGGCTGCGCATGGTTGCTAGTTGAAACTGGCTGAGCAACGCATTAGTTGTCAGCTTTAGGAAAGGCTTGTGTCCGATCACCGATATGTTACATACAAGATGTGATAGAAATGAAATTATAAGTGCAATCGATGATATCACATCTTAAGTTAAGACTCAATCAATCTAAGAAGAACCCTATTTAATGGTACCCGATAAGAAATCCTACTGCGTAGAAACTGAGAATCGTATTTAATGAGAAATTATAATGCCATGTTAATTACCTTAAAATCATTTCGTAATACTTAGATTTAATTCTTCAGATTTACGGAAAAAGAATGGGACGGAATTTTCCGAAAGGAAGAAAGAAGTCTGACGATGAGTCATAACTTTATGTTATACTCAAATAATTTCTGGAATAAATGTAATATTAATGACAATTTTTTCACGCCTCAACCCGCATTGTTCAAAAAGAAAATGTTTATCTCGCTTGTTATTTTTACTATACGTACAAATGCGTCGTCTTAAACGAACACATATATAATTTCAAGTTAACAATGTTAGTAATAATATGAAACGTAAGCAAGAAATTTTAACAGATTGAACTCTTTGTCAAGTGCAGAGATTGTACGTCGACGCATGACGTTATCTGTAATTTATAAAAGTACCTACTAATTGTGTATGTGCATAAAACAATATTATATCAATTAGTGATGATTCATAATCGATAATTCAATAAGTAAAGTTAAGTAAATACATATAAATTTAACATAAAACAATAAAAGATTTTATCTTTTATAATATTCTATCTCACTTGTAATTGAATAAATTTAATTAAAACCTAACACACGATACAACTACCACAAATGCTTATTAAAGTAACTAGTATATCATTTAACAACCATATCATAATTTTCACCAACTAATAACTTTTTACTTAAATAATGATTCTTAACTTAGTTTTTAGCATGCTTCGTGTCTACTTTTGGTTTTAAAGAAAGCTTCAATGTAGAGTCTTAATAATAATTTTTTAATTTTTTATTTTCGCAAAACTTTTAAAGTAAATCAAAAATCTGCAACAATATAAAAACAAAACTGAAAAAACAATCACACACACACACGCACATATTTAATCTAAGTGAAAATTTTATCGATCACAAAGCTTAAATTGAATTTCAAGAAAACTATTATCACTTCGAATTTAAGCAAACCAAGAGTGGCAAGAGATGCGTCCCAAAAATCACTGACCTCCTCGTTCGTTGGTGGGTTCAAATCCAGGAATATGGTGTCGCAGCCCCCCTGAGTGAGGAAGAGAGCCACGGACGCCAGCAGCAACCACTTGCTCCCGTCCATGGTGGTGAATTGACGAAGCAACGCTCGCTCGTGCGAAGTAGTCGTGTGACCCTTGACTCGAGATAACGCTCGTGGTTAACGCCCTTCAATTGACAACCTCCTGTCAAATTCTCGCGCCAAAATTCGATGTAGTTTTTGAGTAAAATATTAATAACAAACGGCTAACCAAACTGCCAAGCGTGTTCCTATGTTTAAGACTGTACGTGAGTTTTTTTTTTACAGAGCTATGTATCGTGACAGTTAATTAAACAGTAAACGATAACCCCCTTGACCGCGCGTCCCTTGAACTAATCTTATAAAATGAAGGACAATTATTAATCGAGTCGTAGACTGCGAAATAAAATGTAGTATGTCAAATAATCGTCCGCCTTTTATAAGAGAAACCGTGATAATATTCGATGCGTCAACGTGTGAAGTGTATTGTACATGTGAATTGTAACAATTTATCGCTGAAATATAAAGGAACTTGCATTGAAATGGGAACACTTCGCGTGACGTAAGCCGCATGCATCGATGCAACAATGCGGGACGACAAAAACGCCCACAAAGCATAACAATTTATAGAAACGGTAACGAAATATTTTGTGACAACAGGTGTCCCTTAACGTAATTAAATAACATTTCGTTTCATATATAACATTGCTGCTACATAATTTTTCACGACGTGTGTTTAAAAATGTTTTTAACACGAGTTTTATAGATGCAATATCGGAATTTTTTTAACATAAGTTATGTTTTGCTTCCGCTCGTAAAAGCAAATGGGGCATACCAATTTAAACACAACTGAGTTGGTAATCCTTACTAATATTATAAACGCGAAAGTTTGTATGACGTATGGATGGATGTTTGTTCCTCTTTCACGCAAATGCTACTGAATGGATTTTAATAAAACTTTGCAATAATGTTGCCTATACATCAGAATAACACATAGGCTATAATTTATATACATATTTTATGTATATTTGTCATTCTGTCTGAATGTTACGCCTTCAGCCTATTCTACGCAGACGTAGTTGCGGGCAGCAGCTAGTAGGCTATATTTTACGAATAGCAAATTATGATAGAACTTTTTCACTTTTATACGTTCCTGTATAGTCCTCTATAGTCGCGGGGTTCGTAATAAAGTTTAATTATAGTTTCTTATTGTTAAACTTTCTTCCCCAACGGTTATCGGTTCTACGAGCTATATATATGGCCGGCCCATCGCCACTTCAGCTTGCTAATCCTCTGAGCTATGTCGGTTATCTTGTGCAAATGTGCGGGAAGTCGATGGATGCAGGTGGCTCAGAATCGTACTTCATGGCAGTCTATGGGGGAGGCCTATGTTCAGCAGTGGACTCAAACAGGCTGAAATGATGATAATAATGATGATTGTTAAACTTTGTTATTCTTATTAAAATTTGTAGAAAAAGTGCGAAAAGATTGTCGCCGCTGCGGGAATCGAACCCACGTCTTCGACATTCGCGACCTGACGCTTTGTTATTCTTATTGTTATACTGTGTTATCCGCACTTTATTGAAAAAATTGATAACTTTAATTTGTTTCATTCATTTAGGCTTGGATGAACCCCATACCTTTCCTAAATAAAAGTATACCGGCTACTCACTGCTGCAACTCACATAATATACCTAGCATTTAGACTGCGCACACCGCATGAATTAAAGTGGATCATTAAGCATTGACAAAAATTCAAGGTAACCTTAAATTCCATAACCTTAACCTTAGAATGTCATAAAAGGTATTAATAAATGATACTTGAAAATGAAATTTTTTATGGGGACGAACTAATAATTTTCCGAATTGTCATATAATCGACAATTGCACATCCTGATGTTATCAGTCACATGTCCTGTTTATTTAAAAGTGGACATTCCTTTCTTTGTCCTAATTCTGAACTGTTAATCCGAATACAATAAAATACAAGTAGTGAGAATAACTGCGTAGGTTTGAGCTTATAAAAAAGGAAAGAGGAATTAACGTATCAGCATAAGTCATATAAGTCGCATTAGTTTTCTCATGATTATCATTTACATGCAATTATTGAATTATTTAATATTGGCATATATATATTGTTCAAAGCAAATGAATTTCTCTTTTTTAATTATAAATAATGTCCAAAAATACAGGTATTTTTAAATAAAAAATGTCAAAGTATGTCAAAGTCGAAAAATAAATTGACATTTTGCAGACATTAGAGTTCTATGTTAGAGACAATTTTCGTTTAGCGATATCATAAGGACCGCGAACTGCCTTAGAAGAAGAAGACCATTTTCGTAGTATCAAATATATTATAGCGCCATGAGCACTGCTCCAGGGGCCAGCAATGGCACGGCAAGTGATATAGACATGAGACGGCTATACAGCCTCTCTCTGTCGCAGATCAGAAAGCATTCGGAACTGGCTAACTACAATTACAAGCCGTCACCTTTCGTAAGAATGATCTCAAGTTTCTAAGGGATAATAATATGCCTAATGCGGATATTTGTAGCGCGCAGAAAAAGTTTAAAGTAGTTAGTTTAGATTGATACCGATGATTTTGTATACAATTACGAGGTAGATATGCGCACTGAAACTGAGGCACTCAAATTACACCGATTGGTGTAATTTGATTGGGGTGGTTTGCTGGGTGGTGCGTTACATTCACCTTTTTAGCCAGTACATATTAAATACTGTGTATTCCTATTTTCGACGTCTTAAGTCCGATTTACACTGGTCAAGTGTTTAGTAAAGTACTATAGCGAGTCAACTTGGCTTGCAAGCTACCTTGCAACTAGATCCGATAAGAATCGCTTTCTATTTTTGATCGCAAGTGCACCCAACAGACCTTTTTTCTGTTTTTTAATTATGCTCATGACTACTTTAACAACATATAAAATATAACATTGAAGAGCGGGCTTTCTGAATAATATTCCAGAACATTCGATGGATTCATGGCTACAATTCTAAGATTGGAGTAATCAATCTGAATGACCAAGGCAGTACGATGGCTTTTTACGCGGCGGGTAACTGCGCCGTTCTCTACAACTGGACTACAAATGAAATGAGAATACTACAAGGACATGTAAGATTATTAAAGCAACAGATACTTATATGAACTTTGGCGACCTTCTCGCTAATTAGTCCAGAAAAGAAGATTGAATCACGAGCTTAATAAACCAATAATTAAAGGCTATAGCCCTCTCTGTCCCTACCGACGTCCACTTAAAACGTGGTACTTCAAAATGAGAGCTAACTGTAGTCACTAAATTACGAAATAGTTACGGTAAATACAAATTTCTAAGTTTTAAAAAACTGCTATCACAAATAACACGTACAAAAAATCCTACCTCGACCCAAGAAAGAAATAATAAACACAAACAAATTTTCACTTTTTTTAAATCAAACGGTGTCGGAGTTTTGCCATTACATTTATACACACTTAAATCTTTATAATTAACTGTCTTTAAAAAAAAAACCCATGTTAAAATCTGCGTTCTCGTTATCACTGTTCATAGCTCCAATGGGAGAAAACACACCTTTATATCATACCTTATTCCACGATGTTATGTTGACACTTTCAAATACTTAACTCAGGTTTTTCCCATCATCAGAGGCACATGGTGACGTGCATTGCTTCGGACAGCAAAGGCAAATGGCTGGTCACCGCCGACGCGGGGCCCGAGAATGTGCTCATCGTGTGGGACAGTGGAGACTTATTCCCGCAGAAGACGCTGTTCTCGCCGCACGGGGCGATGAAAATCGCCAAAGCGGCCATCAGCGGCGACGCGAAATACCTCCTCACGCTTGGCTACAAGGAGAGGGCAGTGGTCCACTGGTGGATATGGTCTTTTGGGGAGAACGAGCCGCACGGTGAGCCATCGAAACGTATGAAACTATGAATGAATGTATGAATACACTTTAATTGTCCATCACAAATAAGAGTATAGGTTCATAGAAGTAACAATAGAACAGCAATGCAATATACAATTTGGCGGCCTTATCGCTTCATAGCGATCTCTTCCATGGAATTTGCAACCAATGGCGTAAAGGGAACATATACTACGTCAAGAATTTTTGAGAAGAAAACAGTGCTAAATAACATGAGATTTTGTGGTCGCAATTTGTACAAAGCGAGTCAAAGTTGCTACTCGTTTTCATAAACTATCGCTTATTCATTTAGTTAGCAATTGTTTGGCGTTAAATTTGGAAACTTTAATGAATGTGCTGCATAAAAAGGTACCAAAATATATATAGCACGCAACCGTCAGGACAATGCCATAAGATACAATTAAATACACTATGAATGTATAATTGAGTGATGTAGAAACGAAATTTATAGCAACTAATTGGAAATAGGAAATGAAACACAATTGAAAAAAATATTCGTATTTATATTTCAGCCACTTCGGAAGTGGCCATACCACGCAATGGAGTGCTCGACATGGCTTTCAACAGCACGAAGTCCGAACAATTCGTGCTGATCACGAAGAACGACATATGGATCGGGGTCTCCGAAGTTGGTCGATTCTCTTTTAATTTTTAATAACTGTTTTTTTCTTTATATGAAAAGTTGTCAAACGAGCAGACGGTTCACCTGATGTTAAGAGAATACCGCCGCCCATGGACATCTGCCACACCCAAGGGTTACAGATGCGTTGACAACCTTTGGGCTCCGGCTACCTCACTCACCAGACGAAACGCGAAAGTATTTGTCATACTTCCACTTTACGCTGGTCTTCTGTGAGGTCGTGGTACTTACCCGGACGGGCCCGCCCATTTGTGCAACAGCTGAGGCTGCTGCATAGCCCTACCACCGTAATTACAGTGAGAGCTCACGACTTTTAGTGACTCTGTGTGTGAGACATTATGTAGCAAATATTATAGCGGCCAAAAGGCAACTATCGGACAGTAGACACGAAATCAGGCAGGATAAATTAAAGGATTAAATATCAGGACAACAATTGCATTTTCAGAAAGCATTCGTGGTCGAGCGGGGAGTGTTGAAGGAGACCGATAGGTACTTATTGAGGATACGGATGGTCGAGAGGAAGCAAAACGCGGAGTTCGGCCGCCTCACCTGCTTCACATTCGTGAGGGAGACCTCTCAGATTCTCGTCGGGAGCAACAGGGGCTGTGTTCTCGTGTACGGATACACCGCAGAGTATCAGGAGAACGTAGACACGGGCAACATAGATGATGTGAAGTTCGTGAAAGGATTGAAAATTCAGCATGGGAAGATTAATGTCATCAGGAATGTCGATGGGTGCGTAACACAATTTCGATTGTTTTTTGTATTGTGATTATGATTTGCGTTGAAGGGTTTAGTTGGTAAGGACCAACGATCTAAAATATCTGTTGTAGTTTCGCCTTCGTGCTAGAGCCTCCTCCAAACCAACAACCCTAACGAAGTTGAAGATCGAGGGGGCATAAGAGTCAGGGCTTCCATGGATGCCAACTTGGTCCCTCCGAGTTCCCGACTCCTAAATTTTAACCAGGGCGTCGCATTCACAAATTATGTGAAGTCATGTCTTCTCGTCATCATCGCAGAATCTACAGAATGTGCTTTCATTCCGTCAATCCCATTCTATTTAAGTGCTTGTTTTTGTATTTCATTTTTTCAAAATTTTATTAGAGCACCTCAAGTTTGTAGAGAAAGTCATTATTTATTCGTTGGACATAAAGGTGTCGTTTAGCGCGGATTATAAAACTATGCTCTATATCCCCAAATTCAGAAAAGTCCCATGGCCCTAAGAATTTAATGCACTCATCTAAACAACTGATTTACAAATTATGATCAGCCTAAAGAATATGAGATCTGAATTTATAATATCTCAGTCATGATTAATGCCCACGAGGTAATTAATCGAGCTATATGTCTTATACACACGGCCTAATCAAGTCTACGATACCAGGGTAATTGTAACTGGAAACAACGCTGGCGAAATTCACTTCTATGACCCCCAACTGAAGCTCCTATACTGGGTTCATGGCTTCACCGTCGATAGGGTGACGGGTCTAAGTTTCAACGTCGCGCCACGCAGCTACGAGGTGCTGGACCCCAAATGTATGTAGATGAAACATAAAATTATTAGAAGTATATTCATGGAATATACATCTCCACACTACATTACTGCATTGAATGGAGCGACGGTCTGCTTGTCTTTAGCTTTCTTTGACTTGACTAAAGAGTATTTGTATGAGTGGGAAAAAACGTTTTTACACAGCTAATTTGTGCTAAAACCAAGTTAGCTCATTTTTAGCTTAGCGTGCGATATGGTTGCGGCACCTCATCGATCTATTATATTTCCTAATTGTCGATCGTACTTCCTTACTTCACGAGTTCCTAGACTTTCGGGGACTTCTATATTTAATAATGACCTTATTAATGGGTTGTGGTGGATGATGAAAAATTACGTACATGTTTATATTTTTTATACTCTTCCATTAAATCCGCTAAGTAGGATGACGTTTAATTCGATGAAGTGTACATTTTAAAGAGATAAGCGTCCTGTTTTTTACTATTAAATTGTACGTACTTTAAAAATAACCCATTATGGAATTTTTACCCAATTTATGGAATCCAATAAATGATGATTTTTATTCAAGATCAGTCGAAATATTTCCGTTTGACATTTAATTTAGGAAAATGCTTTTCGTAAAAGCTTTTGGCTGACATACCCATATTTGTGAAGCCATTTTTACTTTAGGCAATACGCCTTGCCTCTGCTGGGAGAAGGTGGTCCTTGAGGCGGACCCCGAGACGGGCGTGAAGCGGCAGAAGTTGATGAAGAGCAAGCTGCCTTCTGACGCCACCGTTGGCAACAAGCCCTTCGTCGTACGAGACTTCATTGTGTGTAAGAACCCATGTATCTTCTCGTGAATCAATATTTTTTTCATTTGGCCAAGTACAACATGATCGCTTTCTATCTTTGTTTCATCCAAAAATTTCCCTGTTTCATTGGTACACGTTTTTTTTCGCGGTGTTAAAATCTCATCGTGGTTCATACTCAACTTGAAAGTCTTAAGTCTTTTATGTTTCAGGCACTAAGAACCAGGGAGTCGGTTTCGTGGACTTTGTGTCAGAGACGAACACCACCATTGTGAACAGCAGGATATCGCCCGCTTTGTCGCTCACCAATCACCCGGAAAAGTAAATATGCCGTCTGTATGTGTGAATATGGGTGTCCTTTTAGTTTTTCCCGGGAGGATAGTACGTCCTCTTCTATATGGTCCTGTGCTTGTGCAATTGGCACAATACCCTTCATGAGACCCATATTGAGCGACAGACACCCCCATGCCTGCCGACTCACTTTCAGGCGGGAAGGTTGTGCCCGTATGCCAATCGCCTGCACCCAGGTCTCATGCGGCGGATATCCAGGGTTGCCTCCCATATTCTCTCCGCGGCTTCCTTCAAGGTGATAATGTCTTCGCACTATGCGAGGATGGCACCCTCTGGCTGTCAACCATCGTTCACGGCAGGCAGCGATAGGTCGTGGTCCATGCTGGTACAAAGCTCTCGCAGCTGCTCCAACCAGGCTGGGCACTCCTCCAGCGCGTGTTGGGCCTGATACTCGCACCTGCACTTATCCGATTTCCAGGTTGACGACGCTCTATAGACGACCACGTGTGTGCCTTATCTTTTCGTAGATTATTATATTCGGTGTATTGAGTTGGTGAGAAAGGAATAGCCAGTGCCGTATTGAAACTGTCTTTCTAATATGAGCTCATATGTTAGTTAATTACATTTTGAAAGCGCTTATTGTGTATATTTTTTATATCAATAAAATAGCTGAGTGTAATAACAAAAGTACTTCAACAGCAAATGAGTTCCCAGTCAGAAATGTTCATTAGTTATTTCTTTGTTTCAGTTTTTGTCTAGAATAGATAGATCGTTTCTGTCAATTTTTCATTTGTGAGAAGGTAGAAGTGTTACGGCACGAGCAGGCGGTTCACCTGATGTAAATTGATAACCGCCACCCACGGACATTTGCAACACCCGTAGGGTTGATAATGCGTTGCCACCCTTAAATAAAGTGAGCCCGGCTACCTCACTCATCAGACGAAACGCAGAAGTGTAACACTTCGACTTTACGCTGATCTGTGAGGTCGTGGTACTTCTCTGGACGGACTTGCCCATTCGTGCAACAGTGAAAACTCTAGCGTGGCCCCACCACAGTAATATATAATATATAATATTATATACATTATAATAAATAATTATTAATTAAAACATTTCGACATGTTCCAGGCCCTTCGTATGCGTCGGCTACGCTGACGGTACGATCGAGTTGTACAACTTCGTGCGGCACACGCTGTTCGCGCGCTTGGACCTGAGGGACCATTATAAAGTGGTCACCGCGCCGAGTGCAGAGTCCATCAACTGTTTCACCGCCATCACCCTGCCACAGCTCTCTGTGACCTGCTTGAAATATTCGCCTTCTGGTAAGGACAGGACCCTTGTACTTTGCAATTTCAACTTCTAATATATTAAGATGTCGCTTATATTTCCGCGAACACTAAAAATTATTAAAATATCTCAGTCTAACTATCGCCCGATCGTGGACACTGAAACTTGTTCGAAATGTCGGGAATTCAAAAAGCAAATACTAATGCTTGATAATGTAATACTATACAATTTTTAAAAACACTCTTTTTATAGAATTTGAGTGAAATTATGTGCAGTGTAAATACATACATATTAAAAATGTATAAACATATTTATAATATGTATGTATTTAATATGTATGTATGTAATTATATAGCGTCTGGGACGCTGGCAAAACACGATATTCATCACATTATATTTTCCAGTAGTGGGGATCGAACCCGCACCCTCTGGCGTAAGAGGTAGGTTCACACTTCCCGCGCCAATCGGGTTGTCAAGGAAGAGGGGAAAATTCTTCCGAAGCGACGCAAGCTCCCTAAATATCCTTAACTTGGAAGTACTTTAGAGGCGTATTTAAGTTTTGCACACTTTATAAAACACGTTTATTTTGCGTACAAGCATTTTTCTCTTACGCTTTCATGCGGTGTTCAGGGGCGGGCTTTCCATGTGTCACAATTCTGGACCTGGGATCGATAAAAAGGGACAGAGTAAAAAGACAGCATCTTGTACTCCTTCCTAATTATAGTTAAAAGATATGAGAGAACGTCCCTCATGCAGGATTGCATCTGGCCTGTGGCCTCAACACGGGCGAGCTGTTGTTCTTGGACCCGACCACTATCGAGATACGCACGGAGAAGCCCATCAGGGACACAAGCCATGAGATCAAGAAGCTCTCGTACAGCCCCGATTCGTTCACCCTGGCTTGTACTGTAAGTCGCTTCACAGTAATCTATTGTTAGAAATAAATCGAAATATCGAATGGCAACAATGCGACGGGCTGTAAGCTATAAAACGAGCAGCGCTCATCATGTTCGTTCAGTTTTCCGTCAGTCGTGCTAAAGCTCTACCCGAATTAATAACGATTGTGTCCGTTACTTAGAATTATACTGGCCAATAAGTTCTTTTTTAAAAAAATCAGTTATCGTTTCTATTTCTAACATTATAGTGATCAATGGAGAGCCGGTTTTTTTGTTCGGTTATACTGGGAAACTACTTGATCGATCGGAGTAATACTTATACCACAAGATGCAGTGTGTTTCGGAGAAGGTGAGATACAGTCTGGTAACAGACGGACAGACAGACAGCGAAGTCTTAGTAATAGTGTCCCGTTTTACCCTTTGGGTGCGCTACCCTAAAAACAACATACGCTCGTGAATTAGTTCCATATTATTTAAACACCAAACCTCACGGGCTTTTGAGTGAACCTGACGCGAAAAGACAACAATTTCCTATGGATTTTACATAAATGACGCACCAAATCCCCAGGACTCGGGCAGGACTATATGCGTGTACAAATACGACTGCTCGACGCTCGGCTGGCGATTCCTCGCGAAACACCGCGCCCACTACAAGGACGTCACGTCGTTCTTCTTCCTGCCGGAGAGGAACGACGACGGGGAGCACAAGCTGGTCTCGCTGGGCGCGGACCGCTGCCTGGTCGAGTACGATGTGGGCGCCAGCTCCGAGGGTTGCCTGGAGGTGTTCAGCCTGGACAGGATCGACCAGACGGCCGTGCCGCTCGCCGGCGCGCCGTGGCCCACGCCGCCGGGGCTCGACCCGGAGAGCTGTCGCTTCGACTTGCCCCTGATACTGGTCGCCAACAATGAGGTGATAACACGAACTCACTGATGTGCCGTTACCGTTACCTTTTTTTTCCGTGGGAACAGTCCTTTATGGATCCCCTGCCACTGGATGAGGGAAGGAGTGAGTCCCGAAAAAAACGGGTACCCACTAAAAAATCCACGTTGGACCTGTCTCTGTCGAATCGCCGGGGACACGGGAACACGTGGACGCAATCTTCCGCGACCCCGGCGCGACCGTGACCTTTAGGCCTCCTCTACTACATGGTGCACCGTTGCCGTTGCCGTACGAAAAAAAATTAAAAAAAAAATGCTAATCAAAAGGGTACGGACCGCGAGCCCGTGGAGGAAGTTTGTTAGCATAAAAAAAACACTGAGGTAATGCATCCTCGAATCTTTCACTGTATCCCGGATACTGTCGTTGGAAACAACATGAGAAATCATGTCTTGTGTTTTTGAATAATAAAAATATAAACCTTCCGCTTCGATGTCAGCTAACAGTCTCTTTGGATAGACACATTTAAACCAATTATATTATAATTTGACTCAGTCATGCATATACGTGCGAGTCAACTTTATAATCTTTGCTTGAAGAGACTGAATCGTGGATTCAAATATTTCTTTGAGACTATAGATAAACATATATTACCCTATAGAGAGGATCTGTAAGGGAATGAACTCTAGAATGAACTAAAAGCTGAAAAATTTGCCGATGGATCTAATAACATTTTAGCTGGCGGTTCACCTGATGTTAAATGAAATCCGCCGTCCATAGACATTCGCAATACCCGTAGGGTTGCAGATGCGTTACCACCTTTAAATAAAGTGGGCCCCGGCTGCCTAACACACCAGACGAAACGCGGAAGTGTGACACTTCCACTTCACGCCGGTCTCCCGTGAGGTCGTCGTACTTGACCGGACGGACCTGCCCATTCGAGCAACACAGAAAACGAAGATGCTCTTCCAGTACAAATACAAGATAATCAACTACAAAACGACGATGACGCTGTCCACGATATTGGGGCCGCGGTTCGAGCATCCCGTGCGCGAGGTCCAGCTGGTCTCCAGGCGGGAGGAGGGGGAGCCGTTGCCGTACCTCCTGTTCGCCACTAAGAACGTCGTGGGCCTCCAGAAGTTGCCGCTCGACGGCAACCCGTGGAAGCACATTGGGCTGCTCGGGCATCCGATCGAGGTTCTTTCTTTTTCTTTCTTTCATATTTTAAACATAGCCCTTACTTTGGGATAACATTATCCTGTGTTGTAAGGACATTTCAAACGTAAATTTCACGTGGACAAACACCCGGATGCGAAACAACTATCTACGGGTCACAAGTTAGTGGTCCCGTGTGGGGATCGAACCCACGACCCCCGACGCCGTAGCCAATGCCTTGGCAACTGCGCCACGGAGTCATCAGATAGTTTCTATGTGTATTTTTCTTTTATAGTACTTATATCCAAAAGAAATAGGCCAAAAAAATAGCCAACTCCAGCTAGGGTGACCACTAGCTCAGCCCTGTAGTCTCGGGCTCGTAGCATAGAGCTAAGGTATCCCCTGCCTGTCGTAAAAGGCGACTAAAAGAGGACACGGATTGGCAGCAGTACGAAGTGGTCTCGTGGGTGGGTTACCCCTCTCCGAGGCGTGCTCACGCGCAGTACTGAGGGACACCAGTGCGTTCCGTAGGTGATCCCGGAGTCCCTCCAAAGGTACAGAAGGTGGCCACCGAGGGGGTTTTAGTGGGCACGAACCCCACATAACCCTGTCATATCATGACAGGGTATCTTTTGAAGATTTCCCCCCGATAAAAAACAATAAAAAAAGGGTGACCACTAGCTGGACAGAGTATACTAAGACAGGTGATGCCAATGGTGCTTCTACTGAATCATGAAGGATTTGAATTATTTTGAAACTGTATCGACGTAAGCAGATACAAATGCGAGCCGGAGATAGTTGGACGTGATACATAATATAGATACTGTAGACAAACAACAGCCTGTATTGTGTAAGGTTCAGCAAACGTTTAAAAAAGCGATACAGTATTTTTGTTAACAGCAATACCAGTCCGCCTCATAAGCAGCCACTCATTACGGTTCTATAATTTACATTATATCATTATGTTGTTACATTATATTGTTACGTGTTAGGGGTTCGAAAGATTTGATAGATAACAATATTAATGTGACAGTAACGGCAGGCTCGATCGGGTAAGTACCACATCCTCACAGAAGCCCGGAGCAAATTAGAAGTGTTTATACCTCTGCTTTTTTCTGGTAAGGGTCGGTGCTCGTTCTCTTTAAGGGTGAATTGGCCTCCAATGCTTTGGCGATGGTGACTACCTACGACTACAAAAGAAAAAAATTACATCCTAGACATGTACAACTATTTATTTAGGGTTTCTACGTCTACTTTAGTCCCAAGTTATACAATGATTATAATTAATAACTATTTTAGGACACATTTTTACACAACGTTCTCTAGTCCTTAACTAAGCAACGCTTGTACTATGGATACAAGATAACTGATATACATACTTAAACATACTTTTTTTCATAAATATATAAACACCCAGACACTAGTAAAACACTATGTTCATCACACAATATTTTTTCAGTAGTGGAGATCGAACCCACACCCTCTGGTGCACGAGGCAGGTACACTATCCACGACGCCATTCGGGTCGTCATTTATGCAGAGATGTGGCAAAACTTCAATGGCAAATCGCATGAAACACACCACGTGAAAATTGTACCAAAATGTACTAATAAACGCGTGCTACATAGGCACCCTTCCCGCTTTTAGGTAATACAGATGTGTTTCCGAGAGGACTACGGTGCATTATTCACGATAGGCGCAAAGGACAGCTGCATGACCCAGTGGGCGGCGAATTATAGGTGAAGAGTAATTGTAATCATACTTATCACGATATTTTAGTTGAAATAATATCAGACCTATTGAATTCACGATTAATGTAAACTAGAAAAGTTTCGACGAAATAAAAATACTTTATTTTTCGTTTTGTATTTTTAAAAACATTAATCTCACTATATGTTACGTGCTTACTAACATTAAGCGTATTATTTAATCTGTGATTTTCTTATCTGTTTTTACAATAATTTAAATGTAGATTAAACCTACCTTGTATCGTCCTCTACGGATACCATAACGCGAAATTAATCGTCTAATATTTATTCTTCTTCTATTAAAAAACTAATCCCGTACTTAACAAAATTCCCAACATCGTGGGGCGTTCCACAAACAACTACAGACACAACGTATACCAAGTCCGGAACTATTTACTTATTTCGGAAAAGAATCAGACAAAACTGTCGAACTGCATCAAAGAAATCAAAGTGTATATTATTATTCTGTTTCATTGAAAGAAAGAAAGAAATGTTTATTTAAAAAAATAACGTAATTCAACAATCAATGGAAATGCAGCAAAAAGGTCATAACTCAGCATTACATAACGATAAAATTTCGCGCTGGCTTCCAATGGAACCTGGAGAGATCGTTAGATGACGACGTTAACAATAATAATGATATATACTTATAATTTGCTACACCCAGAGCTTTGGACACGACGGCAAAGCTCGGCGGCGGCGACCTGGACCCGTATTACTGCCTCATCGAGAACGGCCGCCCCGGCTGGCTGTTCCGCGAGATCCGGGACCTGTTCTACTACATCCAGATCCTGTGCCAGGGCAGCTTCTCGCCGTCGATGCGGCGCGTCAAGGACCACATACCCATCGAGACTCTGCCCGACTTGATGAGGGCCTTGGGCTATTTTCCGTCCGAATACGAGGTAGGATGTTGTACATTGGCGGCTGTGAATACTTTCTGCTGAGTTGGTCAAGAACCATTGCAAACAAACAAAAGCCATTTTTCATAGAACGAGGAAGGTTCCAGCACATGTGAGAATTAGAACACGGGACGTTAAGTGTGCAACTCAACGTTTTTGTCCCCAACAGTTGACGAAAATCCAGTAGGTATACAATTCAAAGATTTGCTGTATGGCCTAATATAAAAAAATTATTCGTCGGTAGTTCTCGAGTGGCATCCTCGTATATGCCAAGCGACCTGTTCAAGTGTAAAGACAATGGATGCAGGTGGTTCGTGTTTCGTGGCGATTTATGGGGGGATCCTATGTTCAGCAATGGTCTCAAAAAGGGTCACAAACTCGGCCCACATAAGCCGTTGCTGCGGCTGGGCCTGGCTAATAGCCAAAAACCGGCTGACCATTGACAGCTCCAGACCCGCCCGAGCAATTGGGATATAACCCCGAGGCTCGTAGCCAGGCAGGCCACAGGCCTGCAATTCCATCATCATCATCTCAAAGAGGGTGAAAAGATGATGAGGATGATGGCTACATTTATAAATTCAGGTGGAGAACCTAATAGTGGAGGCGAAATACAAAGTGTACCAGCAGCGGCCTTCGACCGAGGTCGATTTCGAGGAGTTCGTGAAGCTCTACCTGAACCACCGGCCCGCGTACTCCACGAGCTCCAAGGAATTGAGGAACGCTTTCAGGAACTTCGCGACGTTCAGCGATAATTCGTACAGTATTCCTAGGGATGAGTTCATTGAAATACTCAAGGATTATGGTAAGCGACCACACTGGTCGGTGCAAAGAAATGTTTGTTTAGTTAACGTATATTGATTTCTTGTTTTTACGCGAATATTATTAATAGCTAAATCACGATGATTTTATCACGTTTTAATTTTGTTTTAAATTCTTAACGTTTTCAGCGGGTTGTCCATAGATTACGTATTATAAATCTTATGATGATTACCTCGAAGCTTAAATATGTGTTTAGAATTTGTTAGGTTTAATAATAATTTTTTTTCTTCCTGTTTGAACCATCCGTAATCCGTGTAGAAATCTTGCGAGTTTAGTAGTAGAGAATAGTTATGCTCCGATCCGATCTTAATGGTTTTTTCATATTAGAAAAGGGACGTCTATCACTCAGGGGTGGCTCCGTATAAATTTGATCAAAACCTAATTGGGTCCCATATCGATTAGAAAATCATTAGTCTCAGTTCAGTTTACATTCAATTGAAATTTGTTTGATATCTGATTAGGAAGAAATTTTCAGGAGAACATTTCTCCAAGGAGCTGATCTGGTACCTGCTGTCCATTCTCTGTGGTCATAGCTTTGAAGATAGAGTCGGAATGAATGAGGAGGACTTCAGCTTTATACCTGAGGTTAAACCGTATACCTTAATTTTGCAATATATGTTACATTATACGTAAATTATAAATATTGAAATAAAATTGATGATAATTATGTTTACCACCTCTACTTTATTCGGTTGACAATTAGAAGGTTCCTCTTAAAAATTTACAGATAACTAACAGACACATTTGTGCAACGCATCTGTAAAATTCATCGGCGCCTCTGATGCTGTGAATGTCTAAGAGAGATTATTTAACATCAAATGAAATTATGAGTAATTATGGTTTAAACAAACAATCAAAATTATTAGTTAGCAAAATGCTGAGAGTATCGACCGCTTGCTTAGCTTAGTGGCTAAAGATTCTCGACGCGTAATTCAGAAAGCTTAGGTTCGAATTGTTGATTTTAATGTTTACATTGATGTAAATAAATATTCGATATATGATTACAGACGATCACATTCAGCGACCTTCTGTGCCACATTATAGGGGTGCAGGATTACGATAATCCCTCGGAGCAGTACTCCGCAAAGGGCTCGAGCTGCTCCCAACTGACCAACTCATCCGACTCAGATGATGCGCAACTCTGAAGCCACGTCAACGTTGAACGTTATTTTGTTAAATAAAAATTCTTTGGATGGATTTTATCTCGTTTATTTTTGACCAATTTAAACGTAAAATAAATTCAACTTATGGTTAGAGCATACAATACCATTGCGGAATGTCTCGACGACGCCAATGTGTGGAGTTATACTGTTAATACTCAAGTAGGCTAGAATAAGACATGTATGTAATATTGTATACTGATACTTTTGAAAATAGCAACTGCTGAGTTTCTTGCCGGTCTCTTCTCAACAGAAACTGCTTTCCGAACCGGTGGTACCTTACGAACCTATTTTTTGGTGTAAAATTTGACGATTCATTAGAGCGCGCAAGCGTCTATTTGAATAAATATTTGATTTTGACTTTAATTCGGGCCATTTCGAATATTACGAGTCCACGGGATAGATCTCTGTTGTTTTATTTTTTACATGCGTAATTTCATTAATTATTGAGATGAAAAGTATTGAAGCGAAAGTGAGTAAATACTATTTTTAAATGAGCCGTGTCAGTCGAGTAAAAAGTGAGTTCAAATCCCGGTGCTAACGTACCAATGAAAAATTTAATTTTAAGTGCTGACTTATCACGTGCTCACGTGCTCGGTTAAGTAAAACATTGTGCGGAAACCTACATATTTTCGAAATAATGAAAAAAAGTATTTCGAAGGTATGTGAAGTCGCAGTGAAGTCGCGTAGTGGACTTTGCCCTAATGCCATTTTATCATAAAAAAAAAAAAAAAAAAAAAACTTTGCCCTAATGCCTTCGGTACAGAGGAGGCCTTGCCCAGCAGTGGGACATATACAGTCTGATACTTAAATATTTTAACAGAAGATGGAATTTGCAGGCAGGATATATAAAATGGCCAGACTGCCGTTAACGTGCAAAATAAGAGACATGGGTATCAACATCCTTAAATCCGCACACATCTGAAAAATACGAATATTTTTATTGTGTAAAACGTGGTTTCTGCTGAAAATAGACAAATTGTATTTTATTGTTGTGTATGTATGTGCACTGTTCAGAGCGTGCGAATTAGTTGCGCTAAATTCCTGCAGAGATAAGTGTCACGCTATTCCTTAGGTAAAAGTTGTTCATTTTCCGATCTGACGAAAAATAAATTGGTATTTGTATTAACGGTCGACGAAGGTGGATTACGCACGTTTAGCCATTTTCTCTACGAAAACGTTATAAACGCAATAAATTAGTGTAGGTGTGAAATTAGGTTGTAGGGCCACGTAACAGTGTTCGCTGAACCCACTTTATTAAAAGGTGATAACGCATCCCTATGGGTGTTGCCAATGTCCATGGGCGGCAGTTATCACTTAAGATCAGGTGAACTGCCAGCTCGTTTGCCACTTTCTGACATTAAAAATAAATTATGAATTAATCTTTCGAAAATACCGTAATCCAAGTTAATGTAAAACTGCAGACATTTAGAGATCTACTCATATATCTGCTATATCCTGTTGAACTCCTCCTGGCCTCTAAATATATATATATAATCGGAATCTCGGAAACGACTCCAGCGATTTTTATGAAATTTAGTATTACGCACATACTAAATTCGGGGGCGAAAAATCGATCTCACTAGGTTTCATTTTAAGAAAATGTCGTTTTATCCCAGTTTTCAGGGAATGAAAAATATTATTCGAATACGAAGGTAAATTTCACCGAAAAAAAAATCTTATAATAGCTTGGTCGGTATTCGGGCGGCCGCTAACAAACAGCCACGAAACAGAAGGTCGTGGTTCGTATCACGATCATTTACACACTTATTTTTTTACTCTTTTTTCGATTCCAGGTCATTGCTTTCTTGATCTTTTATTTTTTGTCGATTTGTTATTTTTTTCCCTCTTTTTTATTTTCTTTCTTTTGTGAAAAACACCAGTTCATATTTTCTTATTATTACGTCGGTAAGGTCGAAACATATTATGCATTTTTCTTTGCTTAGTAATTTGTATCTAAATGTAATTTCCAAAATACACGAATTACCAAAAAAAAAACCGGTCCTCCAGGTGCTATATATATATAATTGAGTAACCTCCGTTTTGAAGTCGTTTAAAACTCGGCGTTATTCAAGGCTCGAAAATCAACGATGGGATGGTGATGAAATAGATTGCCGTGTCCACCGGCAATCTATCTCATCACCATCCATCCCAGTGTGCTCACTTGTATCTTGTATTAACTGATGTTTTTGCTTTCAGTCCCGAGACTATTAAAGCTTCATCTGACGCAGAACCGATGGGCTAGCCAGAACCCACAGGTTTGGGCCCTCCGCTGTGGGTAGGGCCACGCATGTGCTCATGCGTGCGTTTAACTATGGTGTGTCATCTAAGGGCCATCGAGGTCGTGGTTTGGACCGAAACCACGATGGCCGTCGACTGTGCAATTAGCTAATCGGTGGCTGGGGGCGGTGAGAACCGCCCCGGAACGCGGGTGTACCTTGTGTACGCGTTGTGTTGGTCTCGCCGTGCTCGGAGGCGAGGGCGAACTAGTGTGTTTGTTGTTGTACTAACTGTGGGTGTAGTGTTGTCCGGCAGGACCCCCGGCAGTGGGTCCGGCGTGTCTAAGTCCCCTTCCTCGACCGGGTCGATTAGGACGTTTCGCGGGCGACGCTTGTTGACGTTCGCGTTTTTGTCGGGTTGGTAATTTGCTGCGCTTACCACCAGAGGGTTGGGATGATGTTCGGCTCTATCGAAGAACCGTTTGCTCAGGTCTTTAAAATATTCGCGAATCGTCGGGAGTGTGCAATCGCTGTGCAGGTCGACGTTGCGTTGATACCATTGCGCACCGGTTGCGCGGCGGATGAACTTATTTTGTACTATTTGCAACTTGTACAAGCGAGTAGGGTGCGTGTGGGGCGAAGGTCATGCATGCGTAAGACATAATAGGTCGTACGCAGGTCTTATATAATAATAATTTGTGCCTTAAGGGCATTTTACTTTTAGCGTTAGTTAAGTTGTGTAGCCGGCCGGAGACGAACGCGGCTCTATTGCGAACGTTATTAATGTGCGTAGTAAATGACATACGCGAGTCGAAAGTGACTCCTAAGTATTTGACCTTTTTCTCCCGGGGCAGCGCTTTGGAGTCGAGTGGTTAGTTGTCTAAGGTTGCGGTCTGAATAAAAGAGCGCCGTGTCATCCGCGAAAATGGCGAGATTGACGTGGGGGTCTTTAGGTATATCGCTCGTGTAGAGCGTAAAGAGCAAAGGTGAGAGGCAGGAGCGTTGTGGTACGCCGGCGGTGAGGCGGCGGCTTGTGGAGAGGGTGCTTTCAACTCGATATCGAAAAGAGCGGTTCGACAGGAAGCCCTGGATGGTGTGTACGAGCCTATCTGGCACTTTGAGTGTGTACAGCTTGTAAAGCAAGCCGTTGTGCCAGACCTTGTCGAATGCTTTTGCGACATCGAAGAGAAAGAGCCCCTGTACTAATATGTTTAGGGTGATTTAGGCCTTTTAGGATATGTTCCGTTAGGCGGAATAGTTGATCGGGACAGGAATGTCTAGCTCGAAAGCCGAATTGTTCCGCCGGCAGAAGGCCGTTGGAAAACACGTGCTCATTGAGCCTGTTTAATAAAAGCCGCTCGTAGAGCTTCCCCAGGCAACTGAGGAGGCTGATGGGACGATAACTAGAGGGCTGGTTGGCTGGTTTATTAGGCTTGCGAATGCCGATAACCCTGGCTTCTTTCCAGTCGTCCGGAAAGGAGCAACTGGAGAGTAAAGTATTGTAAATGGTCGCCAGTAAACAGATAAGCGGCCCAGGGAGAGCTTTAAGAATTTTGTTACTAATATTATCTGGGCCCGGGGCGGATTAGGGTTTTAAGTTTTTTATAATATCTTGAACCTCTTCGGGGGTCACTGAATTCAAAGGATCGCCTTCCGGTGATAGCGCAGCCCTAATCTCGATTACGCGGTCTCCACCTCCGTTAGGTGGGCTGTATCGATGTGTTCGCGCGATGGCGTACATTGCTGCTCTAGGTTGTCCGCAAGGCATTCGGCTTTTTCGGAGTCATCTAGGGCTACTGAAGCGCTATTAGGTCTAACTAACGGCGGTAGAGATTCGCGGGGGTCTGCTTTCAGACTGCGGACCAACCGCCAGTAGGCGGTGTGCGATGGCTCGATGTCCTCTAGGAGAGTGTCCCACGTTGTATGTCGGTGTTCCGATACACGATCTTTGACTTCTAGCTGAAGGCCTCGAAGTAGGGTTCGGTTCGATTCCGATCGGTATCGGTCGAAAGCGCGTCTGGCTGCATTTTTCTGCCTAATTAGGAGTCGCAGGTCGGGCGGAAAGTTAAACCGTCGATCGCCCGACAGTTTAACCGTCCGTTCCGAGTCTGCGACTGTGGAAGTGATGGTTTCTCGGAGACTTGCTATCGCTCGATTTGCGTCATCGAACGTAGCTATCGTCTCGGGTAGGTCGACTAAGTCCTGGGGGTCCAAGGCCTTGAGTTTGACCTCAAGACGATGCCAGTCCACAACGGATTTGGTCGGAGGGACCGCGCCGGCGTTCTGGCCCAGTTTACACAGGACGGGCCTGTGATCTGAGTCTAGTTCATGGATTGTCTCTATCGACTCGATGTCGAGCGAGACCTCCTTGAGTAACATGATATCTAGGATACTCGGTGTCGCGTGTTGGTAGTTGTCCACCGTAGGATACCTAGTGGGAGACGCAGGAGCAATTATGCTAAAGTTTAAATTATCGGATAAGCTAAAGAGATGCTTTCCGTTGTTATTTGGGATGCTGTGGATGTCCCATGAGCCGTGTTTGCAGTTTAGATCTCCTGCAATTATCACGGAAGGGCCTAAGTTGAGTAGCGTATCTAGGTCGCTTTGTAATAAGGTTTTGTTCCCCGAGAGGTAGGCTGAGACTAGTACAAGCGGCCTATGGCCGGTGAGCGCTAACCTACACGCGGATGCCTCTATATGGCTTAGCTCTGGAATGTCGAGCGGGCTACAGTGCAAGGACCGTTTGTAAAAAATTAAGGTGCCTCCCAGACGGTTTGCTAACTGGTCGTGGCGGACTATGTTGTAGTTTGCGATTCTGGGATCGCGTACACTAGGTTTTAAGAATGTCTCTTGCACTAGAAAAATATCTTACGTTATAATCGCGAAGGAATTCCGCGATTTCGTCCCTTTGACCCTTTATGCCGTTTGCGTTGAAATACGAAACAACCAGAGCCGAGGTTTTGTTCTACCTGCGGTTGTACTTCCCATTAAAGTTTTTTATGAGTTCTAACTAACGACGCGGCGGAGCGCGGTTTTATTGCGCGGACTATTAAGTTTATGGTTGGCTTGTAAATGCCCAGAGGGCTTCTACAAGCATTTTATGTTCGCTAATGGCTTTAAATCGCTATTTATTTTAGCGGAAGTGTGCTCACTTGAACAAACCACATTTTGGGTAAATAACTCTTATCGTCCACCGAATCTCTCTCTCTCTCTCTCGCGACTGTAGTTCAAGAATTGTTAGAAATGAAAAAAAAATCTATATTTAAAAACTTTTAATATTTATTTACAATAATTGCTTCATGGACAGTAACACTGGGTGATCCATGTGTTGAGGCAAAGATTTAAAACTACTTACAGTAAAATAAATAACACAAATTCGCTACAAATGATTGATTGTTAACAAACACAAAACATATAGCAGACTTGTATATTCGTTTAATGCATATGTTACAGTCAAAGTAAATATGTAATAATCTACCTAATTTAGACAATGAATACTGGGACAGAATTAAACACATTATCAGATTATTTTGTATAATACATCATAGTATAAAACAAAGTCATCCCACTGTCTGTCCCTCCCTATGTATGCTTAGATCTTTCAAACTACACAACGAATCTTGATGCGGTTTTTTTTCTAGATATTGATTCAAGTCGAAGGTTTATGTGTATAATATATTGCACGCGTGTGAATATTCATCTTTTCATTAAATATAAACCTTTCAAAAAAAGGGTAAGTGTGCTCATTAAGCACTTTTTTTTGAAAGGTTTATCAGTATGTTTTGTGGAATAAAACTATTTAATTTGGTTTTAACTTTGCAACCAAACATGTAGTATGTACTATGTAGTCACTAGTACTATGAATTATTCTTTTGTGATGTGCTCTGTTATTTCACAAAGCTTATTAACATGTCTATCAGTTTATATAGAAATTATCCAGAAAACTTAGTGATGTTCATACTATTTAGGCATTATAAACAATCGTTATTTAATCACCTTGTCTGTAACATATACACAAAGGTATATAGTCTTAATATTAATAAATACATTGGAGGCAAATGCCTTATAATTGTTGTCTTCCATCTGCAGTCTGACATGTCTTAGATTCATGACAAGAAACATGTATTTGTAATAAAGCTGATCAGAATATGACTCCATAGCCAGTGGCGGATTTGTAGTCTTGGCCGCCCTAGGCCACAGCCCATGTAGTTATTGCCAGCCGCCCTTTTCCCAGCGTCCATCATATATCTTGTTATCATGAGTGAATTTTTTATCATGATTGGCCACCCCTGATATGTGGCCGCCCTAGGCTCGGGCCTATTGAGAATTAGGGCAAATCCGCCACTGTCCATAGCATTTTTTAGTCTAACAGGATATTGTTAATAAAAAAGAAAATAAGCCAAGAGTAGTTTGATGGGCACCGTTTTAAGATGACTATATACATTCTAGATATTGTGAGCACCTTCGATCAAACTTACACAAAAAACTTTAAACAAGGCAGTATGTTATAATACCAAAGACAATATAAGACAAAAATTATTCATATCATTTGGAGTAAACATAGTTATGAAAAATCTGTGCTAAATTGTATTGTAAAGGTGCTCTTGCTTCAGCTCTTCGTCCTCTATAAATCCATTACACTATGTTCATCATAAGACTTTAATATTATCAATTTTGTACTATTTCAGTTCTTTAAAACAGCTTGAAGCTGTTTAATATAAAACACACCAAAAATTATTATAACAACATATTTAAATTGATAAAATTACCATCAATGAAACTTAACTTCAAGATAATTGTTTGGTTATGATCATATTATGTATGCAAATACCATGTCTTGATAAAGCTATTTGATATCTATTTGTATTAAATTTTACATATTTTCCCATTTTCAAAACAGAATATTAAGTCTGAAGGAATTTATGAAAGTCAATTTTTTATGCTATATTCAGAGAATTTTCCTCCCATTTTAAAGGTTTAATACAGCATTGGATTTATTTATAGACATTGTCAATCATGTTAATGATGGTCAATTGTCCCAATAAAGTATTTGTAGACTAACTACTTCTGTAACCGTTTTTGTAAAAATTATAAATCGTTAACTTGCATTGCTAAAAATTAATAAAATATAGGATTGCACTTTCACATACATTTTTCAAGATATGCATACAGAAGAGCATTGTATATAATTATATTTTATGCAGCTCTTATATTTGTAAATTTACTGTTTTGTCTAATACAAAAATTTGCTGTCATGGTATTTAATAGAAAAATAATAAAAACTGAAAGCCAAGAACTGGAAATAGATAGGCAAAATTAAACAGATTTGAAGCCAACATTTTGAGTTTTGAAAAGTATATAGTCTTTTTACAGAAATGGGACTGACTGAAGTGTTACAAATCAACATTTAAATTTTACAGTGTAACATTGACCAAGAAATATGTAATAATGGTCACTACCTGAATGTTATGTTTTTGTAAAATTTAAATTACAAAACTATATTTAATGTTATTTCAGTAACTTATTTGTATTACTAATTTCATAGGTTCTAGTTAATACCCAACATACATTACAAGCTGCCAAGTTTCATACTCCAAATAAAGAAGATAAAGATAATGATATTCACATAGCATGAAGCTCAGTGTACATATTAATGTGAAATAAATTTATGAAATATTATGATGCCTTCTTGTATGATATACTAAGAGGTTGCGGTATGGTCAATTTAATCATTTCCCTGAACACACAATTGCGATTTTCGAGGCATTTCCTGCCTGTCACCACCAATCTGTGGAACCAGCTGTCGCCAGTGGTTTTTCCGTACCATTACAACCTGGGATACTTCAAATATTCATTTTATATATTATTTTCTAATTAACACATTTGCAAGCCCTTTGGTGTTAAAGATCTTCATGGGCGACAGTGCACATCAGGTGCGAATCCTACTTGTTTGCCCCCTTTTCCCTTAAAAAAAAAAAAACAATATTTCCAATGCACATTTGGCACATGCTTTAAGTAGCCTGTCCCTTCAATCCCATTAAGCATTACTTGGTAACACATATATACCTTTTGTTGTATTTACAAAAATAAACTATATTCTTTTAAATAGTACACTAGGTTTATGATGTTAGACAAACCCTGTCTGAAGTAGAAACAATTTTTTTTATTCCATAATTTTACACATTCTGCATGCAAATTCTTCTTGCCTTTTCTTCCGAAGGCTGTTTTTGCTCAAACTATGTTCTAAAGAGCAAAGATATATCCTAGTATGGTATTTCTCCAGCAAATCTAGAATTTAACTAATCTCTTCTTTCTTCGTGCCTTTTTTGATGAACAAGAATTAAATTATGTACACACTGACTTGTTCTTTAAATTAGCTACTGTAATGTAGAATTTACAGTTCAAAAATTGTGACAAATACCATACTTCACATTTTCTCTGCAATAATATTTAGGAGGTTTTTAAGTGTAGTCACTGCAATTTATGTAAGACATGTGTTACTCAATATGCACAATGTATCGAGTACATACCTCCTTAGGATATATAGCTTAATTTAGCATTACATAACATAATGTACTCTTCAAAAACAGCACTTTAGTGAGTATTGTATAAGTACAATTAATTTATCCAACATCATATTCCACATATTCTCTTCTATGTTCACACTTTTTAATGTTCACATTAGTTAATATAGTCACTTTAAACTTTTTGTGTCTCACTTTAAGCTCAGTCCGTCTTTAACCGTTTCGCTGGCGTCGTTGTTCCGCTGCTCTGCGAATTTGAATCTTCGGAAAAATTTAAATGTGTAGATGTGAACTCTGTTGGTCCTTGGGAGTCGCTCACTGTTGAGAAGCCTGAAATGATATAAAAGAATCATGATTTAGTATAACTCGATTTTTTTTAAGTTCACATAGAAAATAAAAAATCTCAATAGTTGTGGCGGAGCCTCACGTAGTTTTCACAATGCATTATTTTTATAAGTTCTACGTTTGTCAATTATTAAAAATTGAATAACACTTACAAGTATTAGAATCTTCGGCCATTCCAAAGTTAGAATTTGATGAATCGTGCATTTTTTTGGGGGTCAAGGTATTTTCCTTGTTCTCGCGTTTTGCCGCATGTTTTTTCTTTTGCTCGTTAGTAGATATAGGAACCCATTTGTAAATTTTCATAGTTGTCTCACCAATCGTCACCCATTTCTTCTCCCTGAAAAAAATAATAATTTATAAACTATCTGTCAAAAAGAATTTAAAATATTTATTTTGCAAAATTTTTTAGGTTTCTCACCAATGGCGAACTTTTTCAACAGCTTGCATTACTCTTTTAATGTCGTCTTTAACACGATTCCTAGTTTCAGCACGGACAGAGCGCGACATTTTGTGAATAAAATTTATGTTACTTTCGTTTCTCAAGTTAGAACGTAAAATATTCAAAAAGCAACTTTTTAAACTTCACCAGTCACCACGCATAAACACTTCGTTCTTTCTAAAAATCTTCATCCGCCATTTATTCAAGTGACAGGAGACGAAACCAGTGTTACCAACTCTTCAAAATGAATGAATACTCGTAAACTCGTAAATTAATTTCGAAACATTTCAAAACCCAAAGTATGCTTAATTTGATTCATAACTTTTTTTGATATTAGTACACTCATGTAATTTTTCAAGAATGTAAATAAATTGCCATAATAGCTCAGTGTCCGGGCGCTCGCCTTTAATTCAATTTACTCGAGCAGTCTGAATTCGATCGCCAGTGCCAGCACCAATGAAATTGTTAATTTTAAGTGCTAAATTATCACGTGCTTGGCGGTGAAGGAAAACATCTTATCATTGATTAAAATATAGATTTGGTTATTTTACAACTAAATAATAATATTTATCTACTTTTGTTTTTCCTACTATTTTATTTAATTAATTGTTTCTACTTTACAAAATAATTTTTATAATATAAAATGAATTACATACAAGATACAACTTATTATTAGTCTTGTTACTTTCTATCTTGTGAATAATTAAGGTACATATCTTATGTAGTAATTTAATTATTTCACGTTCAGTATTTAGTTCGATGATCGATTTAGTAAATCATAATTATTTATCTGTAATTTTTAATATTGTATAGCCAACATTAGCCACTACAAAACCATTTCATGGATACGCTTTGCCAATTGGCTGAAATAGTTATTTAACTATTTTAACCAATGATGTATTTTTATTAATGTTAATGCTAAAATGCTTTAATAGAACTATGTAATCGAAAACAAGAACTAAGAAAAAAATCATAAATGAAAATTTTTATAGGTAATTTATGCCGAAAAATAAAATTAACTAAGTAATACGTTCAAAATGCCGTTGTAAGATAAAGGTAAGAAATGATGCCATAGCTGCTGTATTGAACGTTCGTTCTCATACAATTAAGTTTTTCACCCTGAAATTCGGTATAAATAAAATTTTTGACTTTCTTCAGCGGCTGTCAGTTGTTTTACGTCTTATTGCATTTTTTGTTAGTGGTTTCTATTTATATGTGATTCTAAATTATGTATAAATAAATTTTCACGCGGCTGGTGGTACAGGGATGCACACTTATGGCTATGATGCAACGAGATGATAAGGTGCTAAATTTTTGACGAATTTCTGTTCCTACTCACTTTTGCTACACCTTACCTTCAATATCTCCAAACACTTGTCTACGTTCATGAAGCTCGCTTTTGTTTATATTTTGGCAGTAAAAAATCATATAACCTTAACAATGTGTAATTTGTCTTTGATGAAACACCCTATTGGACTGTGTTAAAATTTTCAGTCTGCATTTAGGACATACATTAAAGTTTTCTGTTTTTGCTTCAGAGGGATTTTATCAGATTTTAGTGAAACCATTTACTAAATTACTAGTTATAAAGAGTAATGGAACTATAAATAGAAAAATAAAATTTGAAGGAAGTTGTTGGTCATTTTAATTTATTTATTTTAATAATTGAGATGACATTACAAAGGTAGTCTAATGTTACAAATGTAAATACAACAAATTGTATCATTGTAAAACTATTCATACATTAATAATATGGAGAGCTAACACTAGATAAGAATAAGTTATAATGCTTTTCATATATGGCTATTGATATAGAATGATTAAAAAGGTATTAGACTGTTTACTCCCATGAAGAGATTCGGAATAGTCAAGTTTCAGCTACAACTAATTTACATTTTTTAGAACATTTCCATTGCACCATCACCTTGCACTCGCTGAGCTTTTTGTTGTTTCTTTTTTGTTGCAGTTGCATCCTGCATGTTGTGTTTGAACCATAGAAGTGGTACAGTAAATCTATATTATTGATATTGTTCACCGTAAGGTTCGCCTAACGAAAACCGTGCATCTTTCCTTCCCGTATGGCTGCTTATGTTAACCGTACGATATCGATGATGGCTGGCGACGGGCCACATAACGTCGCGACGCTCAACAATGGCGCCGTCCGCGTTAACATGACCAATGTGGATTCCCCGCTTCAGATATTTGTAAGGGCAAAGAAGAAGATCAATGACATATTCATTGAAATTGATGACTATGTCAAAGATGCGGTAACATTTATGCATGGTAAGTTAAATTTTATAATATAAATATGAGTACTACTTATTATTCTATGTCTAAATTATAAAGAAGGAGAAGAATGTACTATATTCAATACTTTTATTTTACAAAGTGAAAAAATTGCAGCGTATGAACATAACAAATGAATGTTTTAATGAAATTCTAATAATGTTCTTATAAATATAATAATGTATCATCTATACATTTATTATATTTTTTATAAGTAAACACAAAACCCCAGAGGAAACTATTATTTCCATTCTGGAAACATATTAATATTATAAATTAATTTTAGCTCATTCCAGATTCTTAATTGTCATATTTAAATAAGACATTTAATATCAGCCTTGTTCTGTGACAATGACAGCTTCGTGGTAATGTCCAAATCTTCTAAAAATGACTTACATAATTTATTATTTTTATGTATTGCTGTTATTACCTTGACTGAGGTTTGAAGTCTATATTATGACACAACATTTTTCATTAGAATACTTAAAATAAGTTACAATCAGCTAAAAATTACTTCATGGATATCAAATGTTATTTTGAACATAATTTTTTTCCATGGTGTGTGCAGTAAATAATATCCATTCATTCATTCAATTACTGTGGTATCATGTGCGGGGACATTAATTTGTAACCCAAGCACTGGAATGCATAATAAGATAGTTGTTTTTATATGCTTGTACAAATGTCCTATATTTGATCAATTGTTTTAATGATAATATCCTGTTTTCTAATTGACAAAATTCTCTTTAATTATAATATTGATGTAAAATGTATTTAGAAAAGCATCATGTGAAAAATGACATCATCCCTGGGATTGCATAATCAAATGAACTAAACTCTTGTTAAATTAAAATGTGTTACTGATGAAATCAAATTAATTTTATTATTAGTCAAATTTAATTTTGATTTTTAAATCAAAATCATAATATCCGTAAAATTATTTAATTATCTACATACAGTATTCTCCTTAATACAATGACAAATAATTATTACTTTTTAGTACTTTTTATTTGATAGTTGTGCAACTGATTCTCAATAGCTATATTCCATGCCTCTCAATTTAATTCTGAGCATAACTGTCAGATGAAAATAAAACATGCTATAGGTGTAATGGTCACTTTAATTTTACAGCTGTTTCGGGCGAGGGGAAGATCGCGACCACGCAGGATGTGGCAAACGTCGAGGCATACGTCAGCAAAGTCGAAGCCATACGGGAAGTTCTCAAACGGGATCACATGAAAGTGGCCTTCTTTGGCAGGTTGGTATATGAAAATGGCTGTTGTTCCTTAATATTAGCATTGATGTAGATTTCAGTCTTTGTTGTAGATTGTTTTGTTCTTGTCAGTGTAGAAAAACGCTGTAGTGTGTAATGTGAAGTATATAACTGCACACAACATAATGCTTAATGCTATAAATCTGTCTTTGGGAAATCATGTTTAAACCTATTTAATTGAAAATTGCTGTTGCTTAACTCTCAACCAATATCATGGTAAGTAAGATGTGGCTAACTATGTAAACTCTCTTTCATTTATTAGAGGAGGTAAATCCCCTTGTCTGAATGCCAGAAATATTGATAACAAAACGATGGTATTGTTGATGGGAGGGAAAGGCAGAAATATTTTGTTTTAATTCCTGTGCACACTCCAAGCAGCTAGATGGTTTTCTTCTACTGATTTAACAGCAATATATATACAGACACAATATACCTTTGATTCCTCTTAATTTTGTAGGAAATTCTAGAAAACATACTTTAATCATGACACTGACATTTATGTATGTATGTAGATTGGGACTTAATTACGACAGATAAGTGGGTGCAGGAGTGAAAAACTATAATCATTTCCATACCATTTAAGCGATAAATAAAGATTGTTATTATGACACATTTTACAACTGGTTTGCCTTTCTAGGACTAGCAACGGCAAGAGTACTGTGATAAATGCTATGCTGCACGACAAGATCCTTCCTAGCGGTATCGGCCACACCACCAACTGCTTCCTGCAGGTGGAGGGGTCCGACACTGACGAGGCCTACATGCGCACGGAAGGCTCAGAGGAGAAACTCAATGTTCAGGTGCACTTTTATTTCGCCTTGTATATCACCGACGCAATTTTACAGCTACAAATGTATAAGAGATTGTTTTTTTAGTAAAAACAAATATGCTCAAGTGTAACTTAAAGGGGATACTATCTAGTTTACTAATTTTATTTGATCCCAAATGTTGAATGATGGCCAGTGATTTTTATACATTAGAAATGCAAAAACAAACCTCATTGCTTGGTTGCTCTATGCAACTGTTTACAATCATTTAAGATTGGCATTATAAGTAGTTTTATGCTATTACTAAGGTCCAACTGAGGTGTTGGTGTCAGTTCCAGTAAATCTCGGCTAAAATCTAAAACCTGTAGGATGTAGTAATACATGGTCCGCTATTAACGAATGAACAAGTTCGTCTGGGGAATTACCCCAACCTCCCAAAACACGGGCATTAAGTGGAAGTGTTACACTTCTCCATTTCGTCTGGTGAGTGAGGTAGCCGGGGCCACTTAATTAAAAGGTGGCAATGCATCAGCAGCCCTATGGGTGTTGCAAATGTCCATGGGTGGCGGATATCACTTGACATCAGGTGAACTGCCAGTTCTCTTACCACCTTTGACAAAATGCACTACACATTTTGTAAACACGAACATTAATGTGCTGTTTGTTTGCGGTTGGGCAGTCGGTGAGCCAACTGGGGCACGCGTTGTGCGCCACCCGGCTGCAGGAGTGCTCGCTGGTGCACGTGCACTGGCCCAGGGAGCTGTGCGCGCTGCTGCGCGATGACGTGGTGCTGGTCGACAGTCCAGGGGTGGACGTGACGCCCAACCTGGACGAGTGGATCGACCGCTACTGCCTCGACGCGGACGTGTTCGTGCTCGTGGCCAACGCGGAGTCCACGCTCATGGTCACGGTGAGTGGACCATGTTTTTGACCAGAATCAAATTGAAATATCTTTATTTAATATAGAAACATTACAGTTACTTATCGAATGTCGTAATTACTATTACCGGTTTAGGTAAGTCACTGATCTAAGAAGAACGGGCTAAAAAAACCATCAATGCCAATCTGGTCACAAAAATTATATCCTTGATTGACAACACTCACAAGGGCTCTGTTAGCGCTCGAAATCGATATCTGAGCGGGTTTTACATATTTTCTCCGGATTATAAAAACGTAAATCGTTTGCTGCTTTTTCATCCATTATGCACATTTTCCTCTTGTAGTGTTTCATAAAAATGGGCTGAGAAAGAGGAAACTGTTTATTTTGTTTCTCTACAGCTTTTATTTTGTGGCTGAAGGTTGGCTAAAGTTGCATTACTAATATTTGGCTTAAGTTGCATTACTAATATTTATAAAGGCAATCCGATGAATAAATTTTGAAACTGCTTCCAGGAGAAGAACTTCTTCCACAAGGTGTCTACGAAGATATCGCAACCGAACATTTTCATACTGAACAACAGGTGGGACGCGTCCGCTTCGGAGCCAGAGTACCTCGATCAGGTGAGCATGCCACGGTTCTTCCAGCTATGCCCATCATCAGACTCCAGAAGACCACCAGGAGGAGCTTGACTCTGGCAAATCTTCTAGATGCTTACAAAATTTTATCAGTTCTTTGTTTCAGTCAATGAACAATATAAGCATCATGTTCGATGAGCAAACCATTGATGGCTCCTACATATGAAAACTAGACTAAAAAATCTAAACTGTAAACAGGAAAAGAAGTTGAGATTTTCTTTATCTGGAAAACTTTGATATGCCATTGATTTGCTCACTTCATTTATATTTCATTCACAATTTCTGTGTGCTTGTTATATTGACACTTCACAATTTTAATTTACTGGCACAACAGATATGTTGCCATCTGCCAACAGGCAGATTGTACTTATCATGCATTATGCCACATTTGGCTAAATGCAGTATGTTTCTTATTATAAAATAAATAAAATAATAAAATATCTTTATTCACATAGACGCTTGCGCGTTCTTATGAAGTTAATAATCTAATCTATCTATATTGATGTTAATAATCTAATCTATATTGTAAAGAAGAATCCTTTTTGTTCAAGTTTACTTATGATTTTGAGCTAATATTTTAACAGTTTGTGTGCATGAGATTTTCACTTAAACATACAATATTCCATTTTCCAGAATATGGCAAAGCTACGTGTATCTGGATTCTGTAAGGTCTGTCATCTCATTCCAGGTGCGCACTCAGCATGCGAACCGATGCGTGGACTTCTTGTCGCGGGAGCTTCGCGTCTGCACCCCGAAGGAGGCAGAGGAGAGGATCTTCTTCATCTCCGCTAAGGAGGCCCTGCTCACCAGGATGCGGGAGAGGGAGAAACCAGTCTCGTGTAAGTCACTCCCTTTAGACCAATGGTTCTCAAAGTGGGTGGTGCCACCCCCCGGTGGGTACTGAGGCTATCTGAGGGGGCGATTGAAACTAAATAATATTTGGGGCGCTAAATAAAAATCGGTGGGCGTTGGAAAGTACAACAGCACGTTAAAAAACCGGTGCGACCACACTTTGCACATATTTCACTCATTCAAGGAGAAGTTCATTAAACAACCTATTTCAAACGCCCCCCCAAAATTTTTTTTGAGGGGTGTTTGGTAATCCATTTTTCCTAAAGTGGGTGGTACACCAAAACAGTTTAAGAAACGCTCTAGACTGCCAAGGGGACCATGCCTTTGAGTTGAAACAAGCCTTATAAAGATAAGACAAATAGGAATCACACGGAGCCAGTTTTATGAATTTGTGCTTGGTGTATGATGAGAGTTTTGTTATTAACAGTTAAATGATGTAATTGTTTTTAGTTAATCTCGGAGCAATGTGGACAGAGTTATCTTCATTTAATCTATTGCGGTTAGTATCTCAATACTTGAGCAACCGGAGTGCAAATACCTGTAATGGCACTAATGAAATTCTTAATTGAAATTTTAAGTGCTCATTTAGTAAACTTGCATATCTACGAAATATTAAAAAGATGAGTAAAATTTGTCAAGCTTTGGTGGTGGTGCGGACGGAAAACTTTTTATTGCGGTTATAGTCCTGAGAGTTTGCTTCTCGTTTCGTAATTTTCGTATAATCTGCAGTTTTTTGTCAATGATTTATCAGAGTGATGTTTTGTGTATTATCGCCTGTTATAATGAACCTAATGGTTGACTGATAACAAGTGTTATTATCAGTGCCATATATCGCATTTGTTATCTCTTTTATTTTTTATATCTATTGAGTTTTGTAGTAAGCGATTGTGTAACTTCTGTATCATCCTATTGATCGGTATCGTATTTTTCAAGACAATGTTTTACGATGGTGGCGAATGCCAAAGGCCTAAATGATTGAAATTATTTACCACAAAGCTATCCATTCGACTTTACTACTAGTACATAAATGTCTAAGATTTTGTTTAAATTCCATTTGGTCAGTGAAACAACCAAAACCGCTAACTTACGGAGCGGGTGGGGCACTGTCTGTTTACGGGGTGGGAGCGTGGTGATTGCTTATCAGCTGGTCCCTCGCCATCTTAACTTAGAGGGGTGGGTCTAATGTTAACTATGTATGTACTAATAATACACAACCGTAGACACTCCAAACCTACTCAGCGGTGCGGTGAGCTTTTGCTCCTCGCGTTTCCACCACCTCACACCTCGGCAGTATGCGTCTCTTTATTTATATATCTATATCTAGTGCAATTGTGCGCGAAGTCGATGTAGGATTGTGCTTGAGACAGTCTATATTTATATGTTTAATGTATATCTAGTGCAAATGTGCGGGAAGTCGATGGATGCTGTGACATATGTACATTGAATGAGTGCGAACTGTTCCCCAGCGCCCGTGCTGGCGGACGGGCACCAGGTGCGCTACTTCGAGTTCGTGGACTTCGAGCGCAAGTTCGAGGAGTGCATCAGCCAGTCGGCCGTGCGCACCAAGTTCGCGCAGCACTCGCGCCGCGGCAAGAACATCGCCGCGGACGTCATGGCGGCGCTCGACCTGGTGACCTCTTCCCGTTCAAACTCACTGTCGAATGTCAACACCCCTCCCTTCGATGCACGCTCACTTTGAGCCATGAAAAAACTTGTCCGGAGAATATATAAATGTATTCCATTTGTGAATCTTTTTTCCCGTCCCGTTAAGAATGTTATACTGTTGACAATTAGGATACATCATCGATTATACTTGCTAGATTACTTTGTTGGAATCCTCATGATTCAAGACTTAATGTCATTAAACCAATCGGAATCGTCCCACTCCGCAGGTGTATAACAAGGCGAGCGACATGAAGTCGTCCAAAGTGGAGAAGCAGCGGATCCTACACGAGCAGCTGTCCGCCGTCGAGGAGCAGCTGACCGCCATCACGCGCCAGATGAAGGACAAGATTGGAAGAATGGTCGAGAGCGTCGAACACAAGGTTCGGTGCAAAAGTAACCTTACAGCTTACAGAATAGGGCGCATTTCGCTTCACGGATTTGTTTGCTGAAGTAGAGGCTTCGTGAAAATAGGTTTTAGTATACTAATCCAAAAAAGAAATGGTCCACGAACAACGCATAACTCATAATGATATCAAAACTAGAACTTTCATAACCCATGTCAAATGAGTTTTGGTAACTATAACACTAAGTTGAAGCAGAATCGAACCCTGACCTTGTATACCTTCTTGTTTCGTTTCTCCGATGCTAGTGCCAAGCGTCCCTGATCACGACGTAAGCCCATTAGATTTTTTTTGTGACAGTGGCAAACGAGCTGGCGGTTCACTGTTATTAAGTGATAACCGTCGCCCATGCACATTTGCAACACCCGTAGGGTTGCAGAAGCGTTGCCACCTTTAAATAAAGTGTACCCCGGCTACCACAGTCACTTCTAATTTACGCCCATCTTCTGTGGGGTCGTGGTGCTTACCCGGATGGAGCTGCCCGTTCGCGCAACCGTTTATGCATTTGGGCCAGCACTGTTGCTTTGCTGTTGCAGGTGTCGCTGACGCTGAGCCAGGAGATAAGGCGGCTGTCCGCGCTGGTGGACGAGTACGAGGCGCCGTTCCGCGGCGAGCGCGGCGCCCTGGAGCACTACAAGCGGCAGCTGCACCGCCACGTGGAGGCGGGCCTCGGCTCCCGGCTGAAGAAGCGCCTCTCGGCCGACATCGGGCAGGAGCTGGACGACGTGCAGAAAGAGATGGCCGGTGAGCACTTTCAACTGTGCTCTGTCTCTGTTGCACCAATGGGCAGGTCCGTCCGCGGACGTACCACGACCTGCGTCACGCTTCTGCGTTTCGTCTGGTGACTGAGGTAGCCCGGGTCCCGTTGTGACAACGCATCTGCATCCCCACGGGTGTTGCAAATGTCCATGGGCGGCCACTCTGTCACTTAATATGAGGTGAACCGCCTGTTGCTTGCCACCTTATCACGTTTTACAGATGAAAAAGTAGACAATGGAACAAGTGGGTATAGTCTACGGGCACATTAACTATATCGATGCATACAGAATGTGTCATTCCGATTGGCTTCGGTGCCTGGGGTCGTGGGTTCGATTCCACCTTTTCGGCTGACCCACAGCTAATTCACGTGAAATTTATGTATGTAAAAAAACCTCACAACATAATATAATGTTATACTACAGTATGGGACAATATTCCACTTGAATCACTCCATATATTGCTGAAAACCGGCATTAAAATCCCTTGCGTAGTATAAAAGATCTAAGCGTACAAACATCGGGAGCGACATTTTTTTTTAACTATGTAAAGATTGTGTAAAATTCGACATTTCATAAGAACGAGCAAGTGTCTATTTGAATGAAGGCATTTTGAATTGAAATTTGGGACCTCCACACCGAAATCCAATGAAACTTCGTTTCCAGAGCGCATGTACAACATCCTGCCCGTCCACAAGCGCGCGGCCGCCGCCAACTACATAGTTCCGCACCAGCAGCCCTTCGAGGTGCTGTACCGGCTCAACTGCGACAACCTCTGCGCCGACTTCCAGGAGGACCTCTCCTTCCGCTTCTCGTACGGCATCACCGCGCTGATACAGCGCTTCCAGGGCAGGAACGCGAGCAGGATCGCGCTCAAGAACCCGCCGCAGTACACGCCGGTATGTTGTGATGTACGTGCAGATGGATTTCGTTACTGGAGACAGAAATTCGACATGAGTATGTATCGTGGAGCCAATGTCGAAATATCTATTTCCAGTATCTAAATCTATCTGTAGAAAGAATATTGGAACGGGCCGTAAGTGACTCGAGATCCTGACAAAATTGCGAAAACCTTGTTCGTTTTTGTAAATTGTTGTATGAAGTGATTTGAAATCCTGACAAAATTGCGAAAACCCTGTTCTTCGTTGTAAGTTGTTGTATCCTGGAAGGAACTTATAGAACAAACAAAACAACAAACATAAACATTTTTATGATTATATTTAGTGCTAATCTTCAATTGGGATGAAACTTAATGTGTTGGATCTGTAAATCGAAAAAAAAAAACTGTATGGCACTGTCAGGATTCGAACCTGCGTTTTCTTGTTAACGTGTCCAGACCCCTTACCCAACAGAGCTAAACGCCAGATAATTATCCTCAAGTCGCGAAAACCACGTTAACTGTTTACTTTAATTGCATTTTTAACAATGCTTGACACCATAATTTATCTAATTATTGACGAATTATCCTCCATTAGAGCTTCATATTTTATTGCTTCGAGCACAGCGGTTGCACGCGTTATTGTTTATACGTAAGTATGAAGTGCGAACAATTGTTAATGATCCGTTTTAAGCATAATTGTGTTTTCGACCTCCACAGATTCCGGCGGTGGTGAGTGGGCCAGGGGGCGCGGCACCCTGCACGGATGTGGTGCGCCGCAGCGGGGGTGCCTCAATGGGCCCCCTCAGCGCCGAGGAGTGGGGCCTGGTCTCGCGCTTCGCCCTCGGAGCCCTAACCTCGCAGGGCACCATGGGCGGCCTGCTGCTCTCCGGACTGGTACTGGCCAACGACAATTTTTTTCCATGTTAATACAAGCTTTCTCAACATTTTATGCCATACAAAAAACATTAGTGCACAATCACCAAGTTAGAATTCTTTCCTATGTAAAATAAAGGGAAGCACAAAGGTAGTAGTCTAGTTAGAGGTAGGGCCACGAGGAAAGCCAAGGGGCGACCGAGCCAACCCAGACACAGCCTTTCATTGACGGTCAACTTCATTAGGGTTGTTGGTTCAGAGGAGGCTGATAGCTTCGACAGATAGACAATAGATCTGGGTACCGCGACCTAAAGGGACATCACCACCAAGCAATCACCAAGTTTACCAACCCCGTCCACACAAATCATAATCATCATGAGGCGTATACGTTCGCAGCTGCTGAAGACGGTCGGCTGGCGGGTGGTGGCCGTGACGGGGCTGGTGTACGGGGCGCTGTACGCGTACGAGCGGCTCACGTGGACGGCGAAGGCGCAGGAGCGGCTCTTCAAGCGGCAGTACGTTGCGCACGCGAGCAAGAAGCTGCGGCTCATCGTCGACCTCACGTCGGCCAACTGCAGCCACCAAGTGCAGCAGTGAGTGTCCGTCCCTTCACGTGAAGTTCTCACGAAAACGCGTCTCTGTCGTTACCGAGTATAACTGCCTGTGTTAGTTCCACTATCGAAGGCCCCCTCTGCACAGAACGTATTAGGATATAGTCAACCCGCGTGGTTGCCTATACCCTATAAACCTAGTGAGTCGAGTGAGATGTCGCCCAATGTGGATTGGCCGACTTCACATATTATGTTCGAAAAATTTTTTATGTTAATATTTCGAAAATTTGCAGGTCTCTTCACGGTGTTTTACTTCACCGCTGTGGACGCGATAAGTCATTAACAATTTCATTGGCGCTGGCACTGGGATTCGAACTCGGGTTGCTCGTGTATAGGAAATTAAAAGCCGCCGAACACAACTATCCTCTGCTGTATGACTTTTGCGGGTTGACCACAGGCGAATTGTAGTTAACACGCAGCAATCGACCTTTGAAATTGCAGGGAACTATCGACGATGTTCGCGCGTCTGTGCCGGCTGATAGACGAAGCGACCACCGAGATGGACTCCGAGCTGTCTGAGGTGCGAGACGCCATCAAGATGCTGGAGGAGGCGTCCACTTCGGCGAAGAAGCTGCGAAACAAGGCGCACTACCTCAGCCACGAGCTGGAGCTCTTCGACGACGCCTTCCTCAAGAACAACTAGCGGGAACTGAGATTATATCGGTGAGGAATGTGCCAATAGCATGATCTAAGACCATAGATGCTCCACAACAAAGCAAGAGTGAACATACTTTCAATGGCCTAATGCGCTAACCAGACACATCACCATGTCTTGGAATAATTGCAGACCTCCTCCCAGGTTGTTAGTGAAAAAAACAACTGTGCAGAATATATTCTTTTGATGTTAATATATTATTTGTTAGCTGCTTGATTGAAAACGAAAGAGAGGAATCATATATGAAGACGACATTGCAAAGATTGCCGCCTATTGTTTCTAGGACAAAGTCTAAATCATTAATAATAAAAGTTTAAACTTTCGCCATAGCTCTTGTCCCATACCATCAAGTCCGTTTCATTTTGTTTGTAACTTTACAATGTAAAGTAACCAAATTGAATATTTCTGTATGGAGCATTATTCTAGGTATTAGAATTGATAAATGGATGGCTCATCTAGCCATGAATATGATGTATTTCAATTGAATGGATTTTGTAACTGATATTTCCAGAATAGTAATAGAAAATATTATGTATGTACTATGATGTACTTACTAATTGTACTTGTAATTAATTACTATAGGCAGCTTGACACAATACACAATATGTCAATTTAATTAATGTTATTGGAAAACAAATTAAAAAACTATCCAAATACAGTAAAAAGTATTTAATACTAGCTGCTGCCCGCGACTACGTCTGTGTAGAGAAGGCGTAACATTCAGACAAAAAGACATACATAAAATATACATAAAATGTGATATACAGACATACATAAGATATGTATATAAATTATAGCCTATGTCTTATTCTGATGTATAAGCTATATTATTGTAAAGTTTCATTAGAATCCATTTAGGAGCATTCGCGTGAAAGAGTAACAAACATCCATCCATACATACAAACTTTCGCCTTTATAATATTAGTAAGGATCACACAAGTTCGAACATGACAGTACCCACTAACCTAAGCAATAGTTGCTATTGATATTAATTTCTTCCCTTGAAAATCCATTCAACAATATAGTGCTCAACTATCAATGTAACACAAGAATCTTTTAACCTGTGTGTGTTTATTAGCAACAACTATATGACCAATTATCATCTGATGTTATGGTATCAAATACATGCCTAGTAAAAAATGTTAAATTGAAACTCCTATGACCCTTTTTTTCTTTTTAACAGATGTGCGACACCTGTTATTCATAAAGGGCTGCAGTGGAGCCCGACAGATTTCGTTGGAGCATATGGGACAATCAGCATGGTTGCCGGTTGAATGGAAACTATTTATATAGCTTAGTTGCATGAGTACAGCACTATTCTGTTGTATACATGGAGTTTGCATTGCATTGGTTATTTCAGAACATGCTTATGAGTCTCCCGTCCTATGTGGTTTCATCTTATACTATATTTTGTCGACGTTTCACATTTAAGACCTCAAAGTTAGCTATTGTCAGCAACAATTATTTAAAAACATTGTAAAACGTGATAGATTATATTATATATGTGTTACTTTATGTATTATTTACTGTATTCAATAAGTGCAGATTTTGAAGGTCTAGGAAGTTTATAGTAAAATTACGAAAACAATGTAGTTGAGTATCTATATAATTTTATTTAATAAAGTATGATGACGTAATTCATGACATAAGAGATAGGTCCATATTATTTTGTTTATTTTGTCATTATTTTACAATTTTGAAAATGGTTAACTTTGAAGTCTACTAATGTCAACTGTTCTTTGCAAGTATTATAAGTAAACTTGATACGAAGGCTATTTAATTGTATGAAACGGACAATGAAACTTGTGTTTATTATTTAATGTTATTTAAATTATAATCAAATGCTTACTGGCAATGTCAACTTACATAACAACCTACAGTAATCTATATCAGCTATACTTTACGATCGCTAAGCCATCCAAACAAAGCTGTTTGAAGTAAAATAGAACTATGTAAAATAATAGAAGAACTATGTAAAATATTTTTTTATGTAAAATTAATTTTGATGTTTTTAAAGTCGAGCGATTTTTCATGAGTTCAATAGTATATTTTTCTGGTGATTTGATTTTTAAACCCTGAAAGAGCAACACAATTTTATAATGATTACACTATGATGAAATTTGTTTAGTACAAAGTTAATTATCAAAGAAATCCGAATGAATTACGGAAGGTAAATATGTCTCTTTAGATTTTATAAAGTAAGTTAGTTACGTACATAGTGTATATTAGAGATATTTATACACGGTACAGCCGCGCGCAATGCACTTCGAGTATTGATACTGAACATTGAACGAAAATGGTTACGCTAGAATCTTAAAAAAGTGCTTGGGATATATGAATGGACATAGGTTTTCTGGGAAAATGTGTAACAATAATATATTATAAAGTTTATAAAGTTTTATGTGTTATTTTTTTAAAGCATCCACGAAATGCTAGTTGCGCGCGACCGTACCCCCCCCCCCCCCCCCTCCTCCGATTGTTAGATGGTATTGTTGTTTAAAATGTTATTATAATTATTTTGTGGGGGCGTATTATGAAATCATGTTGCGTTCGTTCGAAAACAGGTTGATATTGTTGGATTGTTGTTTTTGTTTCAGCTTTTAACGCTTCCGTTGTAATTATGTAGATATTAGCTAGTTGCGAATGTTTATTACCAACTTTATATATGTTTCAGAGTCGTGGTGGCTTACAGTTGCACTCAGCATTGATAAGCGACATTTCTGAGTGGTGCTGTTAAGTATCGATTTGATATCCGAGAAATGTAATAGAATATGTATATATTTCGGAGATATGCGCGGTCTGTCCCCTAAAGCCTGGCCTTTGACCAGCAATGTAACATACGTGTAGACCGTTTCTTATCCTGTTAGGTGCTATGTATTGCATATAATGTGACATATGTGCGAAACTAGTACCGACTGTTGCTATATACCGAGTGTATATAATAATCTCTAATGAAACGCACGTCGATCCTTATCCCCCAGTATTTGTTGTTGTAAATCAACGAATTATCTAATTTAAGAAAAATTCGCTGTCGTCTTCGCTAATCTAGGAAACGAAATATTTGCAAACGTATTTTTTTCATGTAAATCTCGTGCATGTTTGTTATTTCTTCTTTCCTTAAATGTCGAAGGCGTTTGTCGGAACCTTTTTAAACGCCTAAAGATATATTATGTTTTTTTTTTAGATGAATTTAAATTATAGCTGCCTCAACCACTTTGTTACCAATTGCGATTTAGACGTGGCCAGCGCCATTGGCTATGCCCTCCGAATATGTCTCATTCGTTTAAAACTTATTCTGTTTCTACATCGTACATAAAAGTATGATTTTCTAAATCTGTTTAGCGGTGATGGTACTAAACTGTATTGTCTGCTCATTTTTATACTGAACAAATTGAACACATGTTTTTGTTTTGCATAGAAATATGAAAACGTTAATCGTAATGTTTTGGAGCGCATAGTCAACATTGGCCGACTAGTTGAAATTGTTCCCAATTGTTTAGTTAATTTATTTCATTATGTATCGAATTGTAGTATTTATTTATCCGCGGCGAGTGTTCTTTCATTGTATAAGATAATTGTGTTACTTGAAGTGTGCATGTATTTAAGTGTTTTTGAGTTGAAACTAAGAAACTTACTTTAATTAAAAGGAAATGTACATTAAAATCCCAAAACGTATTTAAAAAATGTCATTACACATATATAAAAAAGTTTTAAAGATAACTTATAAATATTAAAACTATGTAAACATTATTTAAACATAGCTTATTTTAAGATAAATGGGCATTCGATCAAAACTCATTTTGTGGATTGAACACTCCCGCATGATGGCTTGCAGCTGACATAATTAATTATCTTTATTGTATAATAAAATTCATTGTGAAGTGGTTGTTAAAACGTTTTTAAAATTTAAACACCTACTTCGCGTGTTTATTGACCTAAAAGATAAAGTTACATATAAAATTTCAGGGATGATATTTAAAGTTAGGGTTACGCCGAAAATGTATAAATAACATGTTAGTAATTAAATTCCGGATTAGATACTGCGCTGTTTGTTTCTGATTGGTCCTTTAAAATACTTTATATGTATAGAAGGTATATGCATTTGAGCGACGAACCTGTGATATTATTTTGAGTGAAACCTTTGTCTATTCGAGACAACCCTGACTTGGAATCTCCCTGGACACATGGACCCCTTCAAACCGAACCAGGTAAGCAGCCATTATCATGTTAGAATTTGTTATGCAATGTAAATTAGTTATCACATGTTTAGGTGAATTTTCTTATGTAAATAAAATGAATAAAGGATTCCTTTATATATTTTTGTTTTATTAAGAAAGTTATAGGTACATATAATTCTTCTCGAAATAATATATTGTATTTCTTCTTAAAATGAGATCACAGTTAAGTAAGATAAATTAATGGTTTTTAAATAAAACTAAACTATTACAACTATTAAGTTCCATATTAGAGGACCTCTTCGAATCGTAAATTTACTCGCATATCGATCTTTGGTTTAAACTGAAATATAAAAAAAGATTTTTTTAAATCTTATTTCACTTACATATTATGTACATTTTCATTGACTTAAATATGTTAAATTGACCTATCATCACGTGTTTCATTTTTTTTTTCTTTTTTATGTGAAAAGTTGCCAAACGAGCTGACGGTTCACCTGATGTTAAGTGAATACCGCCGCCCATGAACATCTGCTACACCCCAGGGTTTGCAGATGCGTTGACAACCTTTTTGGAAATTGGGCTCCGGCTACCTCACTCACCAGACGAAACGCGAAAGTATTTCTCATACTTCCACTTTACGCCGGTTTTCTGTGAGGTCGTGGTACTTACCCGGACGAGCCTGCCCATTCGTGCAACAGCCGAGGCTGCTGCGTGGCTCTACCACCGTTAGAATGATGTTCATGAAAGTATTTATCAAAATTATATTTTAAAGAAATAATATATGAGCCCAACACTACATGTTTAAAAAGTTAACAATGTGAGGGAGATGACTATCTGGCTATCGCATCCTAACTTGCCTAGGGCTAAGAGTTAAATATATAAGGTTGTAAAGATATGGTACCAGTTCGGCGTCGCTCTTAAAAGCGCCTTTAGTAATATGGATTTGATCTTTTTCAACGCGGAGTCCATAATAGTCACAGGCTGCCTTTGTTGCCTCCTCGTCACTGAAACCGACCCAGCGGCGCAGGACCGATGCCGGAACACTTCCCGCTCGGCTGCTGTACGCCAGACCTATCACCCTTAAAGCATCTCTGAAACAATGAGATTGGTAGCTCATATTTTAGGTTATAAAATAACATTCAAATTACTTTATTTACAAAACATTTCTACATTATATATGCCTTAAGAACTGACCCCTACACTAGGCTGTTTCCTGTCCTATGAGGCATAAATAATACGACATATGTATATGACTATCCTAAAAGAGCGAAGATGTATATTAGCAACTGTAAAAAAAAGGTTCCATTGATACACCAATGGCAATGTTACTTAATTTACAAAAATAATCAATTACACATATTTAGACAAGCTTTTGTTTAACATATTCTCACTTTTGCGATAGGTGACGCTGAATCAAAGACACAAAAACTACAAAACATTAAGTACCTACTTAGTTAAATTAAACTGTTTTTACATAATTTTTTGAGTTTTATTCTAACATAAATTAACGAAATTTCTAACACAGGATTAATTATCCAAATCCTTCTGTGAGCAAATGTTGCAAAGTATTCAAAACCTCAGAGTCAAGAGGCCGTGGCAATTACATGGACAGACCTGCCCATTTGAGCGACATTAAAAACTGTTGTATGAATGTGTGGCACTTCACACCTTAACAACCTCTGTATGGAGGTTACCTTTGTCGATTATTGGGATAACTGTTTAAGATCTTTTCATTGCCATTGAGACCATTTCAGGTCCTTACTAACAATTTAGACATTTTGAGTATAACAATAAATATTCCTGTGAAAAAACCCCACTATAAACTTGAACATTATTAATCATCAATTCTATACCTTTGCAGTGTTGGTAGATACAAACAGAATGCACAGAATGTAAGAGGACACAGTTTCTCCGCAAGTTTGCAGGTTCTCACATAGTTCCCATGTAGATTTGCTTTTGTGATTTCATATGCCAGTTTTAAGGCAGGCGCACTGAAAGGAGGAGTTATTTTAATTCACCTTACACAGCTTAATATATATAATAATTTTGCATTAATTTATTTAATGCACTTTTGGAATTATTGAAGGGCATGGAATCCCTTAACGGCTATGGTGAATAGTTATATAGAGAATAGAATAGTTTATAACTATAGAGGTGTGCAGAATGCAAATTTTTTTAAATTATACATACAAAAATACATTGAGTCAGTGAAAAAAACATTACACATACTACCATGTTTAATTAATAATGGTCAAATTTCAACCACTGGGTGACCACTAGTACTAATAATAATTTCAATCAGAACACAAACCGTTTGATGTCTGGCCGCAAAGAAATATATCTGTATAGAGGATGCAAGTCATCCATATTACATAGCACATACAAGCTTTCCACTAGTATTTTATCACATGAAAGCTTCTGTTTAGATTCCGTATCTATGCTCCAATTTGACATTGATGCTGTTAGATCATCATCTTTGTTTCTGACAGTCTTTGTGCTTAGAATATCACTACAATGCAGAAACCATTTCATGCATTCCAATAAATATTTCCTATTTAAAACTGGGTCAAACTCATTTAATGGGCTACCAGATAACCTGCAACAGTCAATTAAAGTTTTAAAAAGATTTTATCAAATTATATATTATTTTGGAAACTGTAAGTAATAACTGTTTGTAACTAGTTTAGCTAAACTATGTCCACCTGTTGTTGGTAAAAATTTAAATGGGACCAATTGAAAAAGACATTTGTTCAATGTCTTATAATATTTAATTTGCACCTATATGAGTAAGAATAACTAATGAAAAAAAATCACACTGTATTAAATATTATTCTGAGGCTCTATGGGAGTAAAATAATTCAGGTGAATGAGGATCAAAAGACCAGACACTACACACCTTTAGAACTAAAGGGACCTCATTAAGAGTCATTATTTTGACTTTGTAAGGAAACAACCTAAAACCAACTGTCTTTTTCGACTCTTATTAAAACAAGGGCCAATTTTGGCATACAAAGCTACATAATGTTAACTTCGGTCTCTTTTATTCCGCTCCCAATCACCGCGTTTGTTCTTAAGTGGAAAAAATTTTATTTTACTTTAAAATTGATATTTTTTAAATAGGTCACTCTAATTCTAAAGGGCATATTGTCTTATCACAATTAAAATAATGATTCATTTCATTTATTTATGACAACATACAAATAGTTTTGATTTAATGTTGCAGTAGATAGTCAATAGGGTTGATGAGGCGACATTTAGTGATGAAATAAATAAATCTGTGTTAATCATGTGAAAAGAATTAATTTTCAAACCTGCCACTTGCCTATATCCAAAATAAACATAGAATCTTATCATGGGCTCTAGCAGCTGCATGCATTGTTCAGGTGGCAGCCGCTGTATTGTTATATCTTGCCTGATAGCCCGCAAACGATCATTTATAAAATCGTACATACATGCTGTAGATACATCTATTCTTCGAGTTACACTAAAAAAATTAAATAATATTGCATTATTATTATAAAGTAATATATTTGTGGGCGACTTGATTATGAAGATAAACATCAAATGTGGTTTATGTCTGTATTTTATGTTCTAGGTTTTTTATTTGAACCAAACAAATTAATTATGTATTGCATTTAGGCTTTACCAAATTAACAACTCATGAGCAGAATGTTTGAAGTGTTTTGGTTTGCACCAAGGATTTCTTTGATTACCTATGTAAATAAAATGGGTATTAGTTTCTTTAAGTTTCCAGGGTGTTTTTCGACGTAAAAAAAATGTAATTAGGTACAGAAAAATCATTAATAAAATACTCACGAAGCAGAACTTGGCGGTCGCTTATAGTTTTCGAGAAAATAAATTATTTAAAACGTAATTTTCACTAAGAAAGTTCACCATTTTTACCAATTTGACTTCAAAAACTGAATACCCAGTACCGCCAACATGAAAAATATAGGAAGTGGGCGAAGATTAATTTTCTTTTAATTTTAAGAGTGACAGATCCGACACAGAGCGATCCGACTCGGATAGGTTAGGTTAGAAGCTTAAGGCGGGAGCTTCGCTCCGCCTTAGCCTTCGATGTTAGGTTTTTTTTTATGACCTCTTTTTTAATAATGCGAAGGTTATAATTTGGAAAAGTGTATGAATTCGTAAATTTCTACATCACTTGCCAAATTCTGATTGTTGATTATTTCATTAGTGATTTTTCTTAACCGAATAAACTTTTTGTTTGGTCGAAAACACCCGGAAACTTAAGGAAATTTTTACCATAAAATGTAATGTACTCACTACCAACTCTCAAGGTTTTTTAATTTCTAATCGTTAATTTCTAACTAGTTAATGACTATTGGGAGGAATTATACCTTAATAAAAGATGATGCGTAGTCTTTTGAAGCACGTGAAACGGTCGGAGAAGGCTTGGAATTGCTATGTTAGAGTCAGCTGCTGAACGACTATAGCATTTTACCAGCTGCTGTACTGGTCCAAATACTTCTAAAATATGTATCATCCCTTCCTTCATTCGCCTGAAAAGTCGAACTACAATAGCTGCCAGTTGCCAATTACTGATGATAAGTATTTAAGTACTTATGTACTTAAATGTTTTCGCATATTATAGAATATTTACTACGCTTTAAAATTCTAATAACTTACAATTCTTTTTCTTGAGTAGGACACATTTCATAACACATGCCGATTATAGACTCATTACCTCGAGTTTCTATATTTATATTGTTACAGAAAAAGTTAAAATATGACATGATTTTAAACAAATTTGAAACCAACTAAACTAAAATAAACTTATGCCCATCCGTTTTTAATGTAAGAATGACAAGTTGACAAGTGATTAGGACATTGCCTCCTGGCGTTTGGTTTTACGTAGAAAAATAAAATTAAATAACAATGTAAATGAAGGTGACATTTATCAGTTGTAAGTTGTTTTATTAGAGATCACAGACATTTGATAATCAAACATTTCAATTATTATTTTGGTGTGCATGCGCCCAATCAAAATGGCTTTTCATCATACATGTAAATAACACATAATGATCTCACATCATAAATATATTAAACAAATTACTTATAATTAATATATAAATTAAAACTAATAAATGTTACTTATTAAAATAAATAGCTACTCAATATACCAACTACTTATATAAGTACCTCATTAAATTAGCTATGTGATACATCTTGCTCTCTCAGAATTTGTTATGATTTGTTTTGTACTATGCCCTTTAAACAGGGTCCATAAAGAACTATTTTACTAATTACCCTAACACCTTTTGTTACTTAATGGATGTGCAATAAATAAATAAATAAAAATAACGCAAATTGTAGTATCCTTCTATTCTGCGAAATATAAAAAGTTGTTTTGAAAAAAACGTTTTATAATGGGGTAATGGGTGACACTTATTTGTACCGAGCGGGGATCGAACCCACAACACAGCGTGAAAAGGAAAGGTGACCATTCGAATCGTTGAGCTGTTCCTGCAGAAAAAAATGATGCCTTCCTTGGATTAACCAAAGAAAATGGGGTTATATTTTAACTGGAACCGCTTGTATACACAATCTTTACGGTTCCATGATTCTACGGGAACATATTATATCATTACATATTCGCGTGATTAATAATTACAGGTTACAACATTTACTTACTCTTTAGGAAACACATTTATAGAGAGGACTGTTAAAAATAGATTAAGCTCTTTATCAGTTTTCAATCTGCTATTATGGTCAATTTAATAACATTATTAATATGACTTTATGATATTAAAAATTGATATCTTTTTATGATTCCACTCATTTAAAGCGCGTTAGGCTTTTTGAATAACTGACCTTTTCCCTTACAATGTCATTGATAACGAAGACGTGTTTTTTTGCTTTTATGTTCGTAAGCACATTTGTAAGTTAATTTTATTGTTATTAATCATAGTTATTGAGTTTAAAACGTGATTTTATGTATATAAATGAACTTTCGGCACGGTTCGAACGTGTTAATAATTATAATTTAACGTCTTCAGATTTCTCCAAACAGACAATTCATCGACAGTTGCACCGCCACTTTTGAGCGCGCAGACACTGCGTCAGATTCGAATCATGGTTCGCCGAATGTTTTTGTTCATTTATCTACAAAAAAAAAACATATTTAAAATGCGAATTTTGCCTTGAGTACAGAAACTAGGACTAAAAATTAAATTAATCATAGAAATAGAGTTCTTTGTATATTTCTCATTATTGTATTCTTAATTATATCAATTGGTTATCACGAAGTAATAATTATAGGTAAAAGGCGATATCCCAATTTTTTACGCTCTTTTATGTCTTGTGTTTTCAATAAAAACTTGGGTGGGAACACCAATATAATAAAATTTTACTAGTTTTGGGTCGAAAGGGGATTTTCAGCCGAAGCAGAACCTTCAGGCCTCGACCTCAAAACCAAAACTTCTTCAAAAACGTGAAAAATTATACATATAATTTGTCAAAATATAATATAATTTTGAATTTTTTTATATATGTACCACCATAATACCATAAATATAGTTAAATAAATTAAGATAACAAATAAAATATTAAATAATAAACTAAGATAAATATTTAAGGGTGATCATTATTTATGTGAGTTGTAACTCAAGAGAGATGAATCAGATATGACACGTAGCTAAGCGTGAGCTAGGAAGATGTTCTTAGGTAGATGTAATGAAGGTGCATGTTGTTAGTCTTAAAAGTCTACATGCATTTATAAGTGTGCAATAAAGTACCCGTTTATTGGCTGTTGATTTAAATCAAATTATTTGGTTGGAAACCACTATTATTCATGCTTCACTAAAATTATGTACAGTGAAAAAAAAGAGAATTTCTATTAAAAAAAAAAATACATTTGTATTTTTTATTTTTTTTTTGTTTTCCCTACACTATACATGAACATGCTTCAGGTAAGAATAATATCTTCCCCATTTCGTAGTTATTTCATTAGCCTCGAATAATAATTAAGTAAAAAAAAAAAAAAAAAAATTAAATTTTTTTTTTTTTTTGGTTTTTTATATAAGCAATTTAATTTTTTGTCTAATTGTCTTTGTATTGTTACGTAATTGGAGCCCATAATAAAACACCCGTTTTATGTTAATATAAAATATATGCTATAGCTTACATAATGAAAACTACTTTATAAATTTATTCGCGTTCGATTTGTTATCCATTCGGACATGGGACAGGCTAAGTTATTTTACGTCCTAGTGTCTGATTGTCTTATTAACATTGTGTAAACCCAAGTAAACCCAAGAAGTCGTTACATTAACAATTTAATATGTACAAAATGTAAATAAAAAAACACGCGCGCTACGAATGACAAAAGTTAGACGGAAAAAAACTATATTTCTTGGTCTAAACTAGCCAAAACCGAAACTTCGGCTGGGCACATTTTTTTCCAACGGAGAAAAGACACGAAAACTTGTGTTTTGAATACTATCTGTATCGGGCGAATATTTGTAATCGACCTAATTGGCGTGGGGGTAGTGAACCTGTCTCTTGCGCTAAAGGGTGTGGGTTCGATTCCCAATGCTGGAAAAATATTTCGTGACTAACATTGTGTTTTTACAGTGGGTGCCTTTTTATGTGAGAAAGTGGCAAACGAGCTGACGGTTCACCTGATGTTAAGAGATGACCGCCGCCCGTCGACATATGCAACACCCGAATGGTTGCAAATGCGTTACCACCTTTAAATAAAGTGGGTCCCGGCTACCTCATCACCAGACGAAACGCAAAAGTATAACACTTCTACTTTACGCCGGTCTTCAGTGAAGTCGTGGTACTTACCCGACGGACCTGCCCATTCGTGCAACTGCGAATACCGTCGAGTGTTGCGTGGCCCTACCACAGTTTATATATGTACCTATAAAATGTGTTTATTTACAAAAGAAAAGTATGTTTTGAGTACAATAATCAGTTTTCTAGTACCCATAGTACAAGCTTTACTTAGTTTGGGACTAGCGAACGTTGTGTAAAAATGTGTTCGCATATATATTATTTATTTATTTATAATAAAACATTTGCAATATTGCAGTGCTTGAAAGTGACTTTCGAGAGAGCTTACGTGTCATATATAAACCCGAAATACGTGGAGTACGCATTTACAAACGTAACACGTTACGGCAGGCGGAGCGAATACTATTTAAATGTCGAATTTATTACGCGTTACACCTTGACCAACAATGTTACGGTTTGTTAAATACATAATAAATTTTTATTATTTATTTATTAATATTGACATATGTTGCCATAGTTTTAAAAACCAGTACAGCCAACCAATATATTAAGTTATATGGTTAAGAATTCCTTGAAGTAATAAAAAACTTCCAACTGTTTTTTATTATAAATTTTATAGATTTTATTTTGCATATAAAAAGTCTGGGCAACTGAACATTCCATTTTCCCAAAAGAAATTAAACATATTATTATTACTTTGTTAAAACCAAAACAAAACCACTGCTAGAACGTAGAAGTTCGTGCGGGGGCCAGGCGTAAAATAGAAGTACTTATTTGATATTTTGCTTGTCTTTGGTGCTGAAATGTTAATGGTCCCATCGCTATTAATGTTTGGCGAAGCAGATGAGACCCTGCGGGTGTTGGAAGTGCTCACGGGTGGCGGTAAACATATACTTATGCGACCAGTTCGTTGACCACCTTCCCCACTAAAAAGTAAAGAATAAGATAAAGGACTAATGTGACCCACTGCCGAGTAAAGGCTCTGTACAGAAGGTACAGGGCATCGTCCACCACGCGACTTCACAGCTGATTGACAGATTTCACATCTATTCGAAATATATTTTATTATTATGCCGAAAATATCCAGGGTCCTCACCATGTTTTCGTTCACCTTTGAGCAGGCTATGAGTCAGCACTTTTAACTGCAACTTACAACTTTATTGCTGACATGCGGTGACGGGGTTTGAACTCGGTCTACTCGAGTATTTTGAATTAAAAGCGAGCGCTAGACTGAGCTATCACAACTCTACTTGCACCCCCCCGATACAAAAAAATACATAATATATCTTGTATTCCGACAGATAAACATTTTGTTCTATGAACTACAACGGAATGAGTATCGGCGTTCCTTTGTCGAATTACATTACGGGATCTGCGATTTTCTGGATAAAGATCCCTACATCGGAGGCGTGGCGGTGGGCGCTGGGGTGAAGTGCCCGATCAGAGCTGTAAGACTCCAAAAAACTCATCATATAGAGGACCGTAGACTAGAGCCTAAAATAATTACCATGAGGATAGCGTAACGCGTTCGGAGAAAGTCAAGGGTTCCGTGGGAAAAGCAACACGATTCCACGTGTTAGTTTACATACAAACTTAATAGACATATCATTTTGGTCGACTGAAAGTGTTAGTTCTAAAGTACGGTGACAGATATTCAATCAAAAAGTTTAGATTATCATAACATATTATGCAATCCATAGGTTTGATAATATTAAGCAAAATAATTGAAATGGTATTTACTAAACTCCTGCCCTTTAAATCGAGAAACCGATGCCGTTGACCCGTTGAAAGTCGATTAAATACAGACATATTTTTTATTAAATACAGACATAGCATATAAAAATATGTCTTAATAACAGAGCAAAACGAATAAAGCAAGAGTGAAAATAAGAGTTCAATAGAAGTAGAGTCACTTTTTATTTTAACCTGATTTCTTTTTGACGTTCATCAGCAATTTACTTTTTAAGTTTTTAATCTGTGACACACTAAACTGATATCTTTTTTGTTTGCATATTCGATAGCACACCAAGTATACACTGAGGAATCTTACGGTCAACTTGGAGACTTTCCCCAACGTGTTCCCCTTTGAGAAGGGCCGCATCAACTTCTGCTTCAACAGGACCAGCGACTGGGAGCCAATAGCCGAGGGGGTTCTGCACTTGTCCTTCTTCAACGGCGCCAAAGGCAGGAAGCAAGGCTGACGTGCGTTACTTTATGGGCTCTACTGTATGGGCGCCAAGTAGTAATTTTTAATGTCCAATATGAAACTGCGTTTATTAAATAATAGTTAAAACACTGTGTATTTCACTGTGGTAAGTGTTGTTCTGTTGCAATTGAATTACTAACCCCCCCCCCCCCCCCCCTCGCTTTTTTTTAAACTATTTCAAAACGCAAAAACGCAGCGACGTTGGACCTAAACGCAGTAGGATATAAACTTCAATACATATCGATTCGAAACGTGTCCAAATAATATGTATACCGAAACGTTTGCCAAATCCCGAACTATTATGTCAGGTACATGTATTAAAAAGTAAAAAGTATTTATAAATATATATAGAAATATGAACTACATATGCGGTCTCTTCTCTGTAAAAATAATTAATTAAAAATTAAAGTTTGACTCACAGGTTCGCCATCATTTAGCTAACCCCAAGTCAAGATCGTGATTAATTTTATAAGGACCCAAAAGAAAAGTAATTTGTTAAAACTGTGATATTTTTATTTCTTTCCATTTTTGGCGGTTTTTAATGAATACGCCAATGAACACTGTTTTTTTTCACTGTTTCCATTTTCAAAAACTTAGTATTATTCAACAAACAAAACAAATTCGGTGGTAGGGCCACACAACAGTGTTCGCTGTTGCACGAATGGGCAGGTCCGTCCGGGTTAGTACCACGACCTCACAGAAGACCGGCGTGAAGTGGAAGTAGTTCACTTCTGCGTTTCGTCTGGTGAGTGAGGTAGTCGGCGCCTACTTTACTAAAATATGTCAGCATCTGCAACTCTCCGAGTGTTGCAAATGTTCATGGGCGGCAGTTATCACTTAACATCAGGTGTAGCGCCCGTTTCACCGCTCTTTTGCCACTATTTGAACGTTTATCTGCATGGTGTGTTTGATTTATACGCTGCACATTTTAGTGCCGAAACACACTTACCTACCCCTAGTCACCAAACCTTTTATTACTGTGGGATAACGTCATCATGTATTGTAAGGCGTAGATATCACGTGGACAACCACCAAGTAACGAAACAATTATATGTGGTTCACACTTTCACACAAATAGTTGTGCCGTGTGGGAATCGAACCCACGACCCTCGGCGCAAAAACCAATGCCTTATTAACTGCGCCAAAAAGCCGCCTTATCTATGTGAAGCAAAAGCTTTGTACCCTTTTTTAAGAAAATTGCGTGGATGGAGAATTATGAAAAATCCCACACTTATAGTTTATAAAGCGTGTCGTTACAACCGCGACAGTAAATGAATACACATATAGAGGATAACTTTTTAAAATTGTATTAAGCATTTACATTCTTTAAACATCAATATTTATAGAGTTATTAAATTTTACACAACAAACATTTTTAGAACGCCCTTACGTATAAAACTGTAAAGTAAAGATCATTTGTAAAGGTCACAAAGCATATGAATGGGTTGAATTTAAAAGAGATAAAACATACTGTTAGAAAAGAGACTTGTAATGCGACGTTTTGGCAACGAATGAAAAGTCTCAGAATGTATAAATCAGTCAGTTGTAGTTGTTATAGGATATTACAAATTTTGTTTCTTTTTTATTTAATTAGTTTGTTTGAAAATATATATTTTTTTAATTAAAAATAAAGTTAATTTTGGCATTCTGCACTCCTTCACTATAGTGAATGCCATTTTTTTAAATAATGCATAAAATATACATACAGTAAATCAATAAAAAAAACATTACACACTCTCATGTACAATTAATTATGGTCGAATTTGGACCACTGGGCGACCACTAGTTATTAAATTAATAATTCTTGTTAAAAACAACTGTTGGTAACATTTTGTAGCTAACAGAATTTTGTAGTTTGATAGATAAATAATTTTATATAATTCGTACGACACCAATTGCGCGTTGACTATATACAAGGTTGCACTCACCGCCCACTTCTCGGCCGCCATTTAGGTTTGGCCGAGCCAACTTTACTGGAAGCTGTTATCGGTATGAAGCAATATATTCCATATATTCCTAGGTTTAAACCTCAATCAGAGCGGCACTTCAACTTGGATCGTATCGAATCGCTTTGCTAGTCGAATTGTCTATCTTTCATTGGCAGGAGTATTAGAGACGACGACTTCAACGTGTCGTCGTCGTGCATCAGCAACGGTGTTTATCCTGAGTGCGCCGCCAGCGCGGAAGTCTTCCGACAAATCTGTCAAAGCCTAACGCCCGGTTTCTGAAACACTGATCATCGTCAAATTAACTGATCAGCTTTCAAATGGCTTGTCAAATGTCATTTGATATGCCAAAAGGATGGTTAAACTCTTTGAATCGATCATTTGACAGCTGATCAATTAATTTCTACAATGATCAGTGTTTCAGAAGTCGGGCGTAAGTCTAACAGCAAACAGCAAACAACACTTTAACATAAAAACGTAACGAAAACACCTACCTGATCAATGCGCAGAACCTGCCGAACTTTTCTTATGGAGGCCATCCCTTTTAAGATGATAAATATTTAACTACTTATATAATTATCAGTACGAATAAATACTTGGAGACTGGACATATATTTAGAGTTAATTATTTCACATTGAAATGGACAATATTTTATTTTATTCATAATATTTTATTATTTAATGAAAATATGAATTATCGATTGATATCGTGGCCCGCATATAATTAAAAAGCAATAAAATAATTTAAATGTAAGTAAATGCAGACCAATTTTATTTTAAGTACATATTAACAACGTTTAAAATTATGATAATTTTTTTTATTTATTTAATCTTTATTGCCAGTAATGCCCGAAGGCGTTCTCTATCAGTCAACCCAGAATGTGGCTCACCACAGTTTATGGTAGGTGTAGCAAAAGATGGAGGAATAATAAAATTTTAAATAATGAGAATAAATATGAAAATAACAATAAGAAATACATTTGTTTATAAATAAAATTATTATTATGTTAAAACAATTGTGTAAAAATAATTAATTGTGTAAAAATAATTTTTAAGTTAAAAATAATTAATATATAAATAAAAAGCGTTCGTTGACGATGACGCGAGTTACACGATTTTTGTACATTCAAAAAGTGTTCAACGCGACTAGTGAAGTTTTCACTTCAATAATTCAACTTATGTGCACGAATTGCAATCAATTGCACTACGTTTGCAATTCATTTAAAACTCATTTGGATACAATATTAGGATACGTTGCATCTATTAATTTCCCATTAGCCGCTTCGAGCTATTTATGCGAGCTTTTTGAAAAGAATTCCGGTAACTTTTTTTCGATCTATATATGCAATTGGTATTCAATATTAGCAAGTCGTTGAGTGCACCGTTTTGGCGGCTGGCTGGTATTTTTTTTTGAATACCCAAGGATATGAATTTTTTTATTATTGTTACGTTGTTTTTCACCAGCTCAATTGTTGTAAGTATCTATTTTAATAATAATTAATAAAAAATACGGGAATACTCAGAAGCATGCAACGTACGGCAACGAATTTGTAAGCCCTTGGGTGTTGCAGGTGTTCATGGGCGGCGGTAATCACTAACCATCAGGTGAGCCTCCTGCCCGTTTGCCCCTTGTCTCCATAAAAAAAACATTATAATTAACAAAAATTAATAAAACGTTCCTATCACAGGCTAATATCAAAGTGATTTTTAAATTAAAATTGATTAAAAAAGTAAATAAAAATACAATATCACAACGCAAAATTTTTCAATGGCAACATCAGAATTTAAAGGAAAAAATCCGGACCCACCGCCAGGGGTCCCGCCGGACAACACGACGCGTACACAAGGTACACCCGCGTTCCGGGGCGGTTCTCACCGCCCCCAGCCACCGATTAGCTAATTGCACAGTCAACGGCCATCGGGGTTTCGGTCCGAACCACGACCTCGATGGCCTTTAGATGACACACCATAGTTAAACGCACGCATGAGCACATGCGCGGCCCTACCCACAGAGGAGGGCCCAAACCCGTGGGTTCTGGCTTACCCACCGGTTCTGCGTCAGTTGAAGCTTTAATAGTCTCGGGACTGAAAGCAAAAACATCAGTTAATACAAGATACATGAAGGAAAAAAAAGTTTAAAATGAAGAGAATTCTGCAATGCCATCCAGCCTTCCCGGAAATTTCATATGAGTTCTAGCCTGTTCGAGCCTATGGCTGGACATAGGTCTCCCACACAGACTGTCACCAATCGCGATCCCGAGCCATCTGCATCCATCGACTTCCCAGTTCCCACACATTCGTCACTCCATCAAGTGGGGAGTCATCCTACACTGCGATGGCCAGTACGAGTATTCATATGAGTAGCTATGCATATAAATATAAACACCGATCCTTTACTACTTGCAGGGCCTGAAGGTGACCTTTGAGAGGGCCCTAATGACCTTTTCCAATCCTAAGTACGTGGGCTACGCGTACGTGAACGTGACACGCTACGGCCGGAGGAGTGATTACTACGCGAACATCCAGTTCGTCGCTAAATACGTGACTACGAACAATGTCTCGGTTAGTCGACTAAAGTAACAGTTCATTTCCACAGCTGGGCAAAGGCGTCCTCTTTATATGGAGAAGAAGTTTGTATGTTCTTTTTTTTTTCTTATATTTTTGATGTGAAACATCTATAGCCGCACGTAAAAGCGCAATTTCTGGCGTGGCGATGTATGCCATATGATGGTATATATATAGTCTATATGCAGTAGTGTGTACGATTAAATACTCAAATTTAGATTAATTGTTAATAATTATTTATTAATTATTAATTAATTAAATTAACTTTAATTAATTGTGTGTACTATTACCGAAGTCACTGATTAAACGAATTAAGTAGTCACGATTTGAAATAAATTCGTAAATTTTTGTATTTAATGAAAATAAATGTTTATTCAATAAATAGTCATCGTTATCTGGAAAAAAAAAATTGTAATATTTTATTTTATCATTATGACATATTTAGTTGCTATCACAATCTGTTCTTTTCTGCATATTACTTTTTTCACATATATTTTTATATAATTTTGAAGTCATACTTCTTTTGGCGTATTTCAAAAAAATTATGTGAGTGAATTTTTACGGTGCGCGTCACCTAAAAGCGACACCAACATCACGGTTTACCACGGCAACCAATAACAATTTATTGACATTTACCTATTTTCCAAGTTATTTAAATTATCTCTTTCAAATCAATTGCATTTAATGTCTTTTTTTTTCATAAACAAAGAGTACTGGCACACGGGATAAAATTATCAGTTATTTTTCTTTTATTACTCTTAAGAAGTGTAACTTCTGACGTGCGTACATAAGTAAACATATATACGTTTATGATTCACATCTAATGCGGGAGGGCAGAATGAGTGTAGGCGTGGCGACACGTCGCCATGTTCGTCCTTATTTATTAATATTTTCACTATATAGTATAAAACAAAGTCGTCCCGCTATCTGTCTGTCTCTATGTATGCTTAGATCTTTAAAACTAAGCAACGGATTTTGATGCGGTTTTTTTTACTAGATACTCTGTATATAAGAGGAAGGCTTGTTTGTCTCCCTATAGTTAGCTAGTATTACGTAATTTGCAGATTCATATCTACGTGTACGAATTCTCACGTAACCAGTACAAGCGGTCGTTCATCGAGTTCCATCACAAAATGTGTGACTTTATAATGAAGGACGACTTGATTGGAGCGATAGTGAGAAAAGCGGGCCTCACGTGTCCCGTCCCAGCGGTGAGATTGTGTATTGTTTCTTTTTTTTATGCGAAAAGTTGCCAAACGAGCAAACGGTTCACCTGATGTTAAGTGAATACCGCCGCCCACGGACATCTGCTACACCCGAGGGTTACAGATCCGTTGACAACCTTTTGAAAATTGGGCTCCGGCCACCTCACTCACCAGACGAAACGCGAAAGTATTTGTCATACTTCCACTTTACGCTGGTCTTCTGTGTGGTCGTGGTACTTACCCGGACGGGCCTGCCCACTCCTGCAACAGCAGAGGCTGCTGCGTGGCCCTACCACCGTGTGCGTGACTCTACCGCCGTGTTTCGTCTTACAAAAGTACAGTAGCAGCCTATATATACTCCACTGCTGGACAAAGGCTGCTGCAAAACAAAATGATAGATATATACGAAAATGTTTTCATTTTACTCATTACGATAGTCAAACACGCCAGCGATCTATCAGTAAACAAAACCGACTTCAAATCACCATACATCTTCTATTTGATTTTGCGTATACGCTGATGCTCGCTCAGAGCCGTGATAGCTCAGTGTCCGGGCGCTCGCCTTTATTTCAATATATACTCGAGCAACCTGAGTTCGATCCCCGGTTCCGGCACCAATGAAGTTTTTAACTTTAAGTGCTGAATTATCACGTGCGGTAAAGAAAAACATCGTGAGGAAACCTGCATATTTTCGAAATAAGACCAAAAAAAATCCAAGATATGTGAAGTCCGCCAATCTGCAGTGGGGCCGCGTGGTGGACTATGCCCTGATACCCTCTGTATAGAGGAAACCTTTGCCCAGCAGACATGTATAGGCTGTTACTTTACTTTACTTTTTTTTTTATACGCTGATGTATCTCATAATTACCTACATTTGACACACTGCTGAAACTTGTGCATGTTTTATTTGGCACGAAGTCGGCTTAATATGTTGCACCAAATTATGATATTAAAGATCACAATGTGCTATCATATTCTGTCAATAAAGATATTCATTCATTCAAAATATGAAGTAGCCACCAAATTAGTGCAACCAATCGACGTTCTCTTACGAGTTCCAATTACAGGGCAAGTACACGATGATGAATGTTACCACGAACTACGACCATTTTCCCAGCGTCTTCCCCTTCGAGAAGGGTCGCCTTGACGTCTACTTGAACGCGACCGTGGATGGGGAGCCAATTGCCGTCGCCATCGGCTACCTTACTTTCAAGAACGAAATACAGAAGAAGAGACATGGCTGAACTGATATTATTTAGCAAAATCGTCTGTTTTAGTTTAAAAACGACTAGGAAAGGGTGTTCTGAATGTAAATAAGCAGTAACTATCTACTGAAAAAAATCGACAATAATAAATACTAATTAAATGAACAAACACGTTGTCTAACAAACCTAGCCGACGCGGCATTGTGCCAAGAATGCTAGCTGCATTTCCTCGCTGAATAGTTACTTCCCAACTTTGTCTATATCGATTGGCATAGCGTTGGCAGTCAATAGTACCAACGACTTTTAAAGTGATAACTTATAGTGAACGGAATGTAGAGGAAACACAATAGTAGTTTACACACAATTGCATTTTAGAAAGCGGTTACCAAATTTGCGTAGGAATTTAAATTTTTACCTTATTCTGTAAATTACTGACCATATTGTTTACTAAGTTTCAGTAATCGTAACATTTCCACAAGATTATTGTAATCAAATCACGACATAAGTACTATAATTTCAGGGAAAATTTTATATTTTAAGCAACTTAAGAATGTAGGTGTTTTCCCTTAGGTATTTCCATACAAAAGGGGATAAATACATTTACTTTCAATTCAACATAACGAAGACTAACGAACAACTTTTTCCGGGATATTTCTGCTTAATATTCGAGAAACTGCTAACTAAAAAGTTAAAGGGCAAACTCTTTGGCCAAAATAAAACATAAGACATTGAAACAAAGGGTACAACGCACCCTTTGTTTCAATGTCCCATGTTTATTATCATTATTGAATTTATACGTCTTTTGGCGCGTTTGGAGAAAATGACGAGTGCAAACTTTTACGATGCGCGACACATAAAAGCGACGCCAACTTCACGGTGTTACCATGGCAACCAATTTGACGTTTACATAAAGTTATTTAATTAAACCGTTGTCCATTGAGTGTAATGGCTTTTTTCCCCACACGTTTTTTATATTATCTATGCAATGATCATTGTATTGTAATTCTGCCAATAATTTAACTAAAGTAATATTTTAAAATTTTGTTTTGTTTTTTGTTCCTATCATCTATATCTGTCGATCAAAAAGAACTGTAAGAGAAGAGTCAGAGTTTTTCTGAGAGGTATCCTCTCATTTAAAACCATTCGTATCTCTTTGTGATTTCACAAGCTATTGATATTACTTCTTATTTACCAACCAACTGGTAAACTTCTGCAACAGTGTCTGCTGTCTCACTTAAAACAAAAGACACACCCAGTGTAAAATCAGATTAGTAAAGAAACAATTATAGCTTAATATTATGTGAAGTAATAAAATCACACAAAATATAAACAAAAGGTTAAAAGAGAATTAAAATTTATAGGACGAAGAATATAGGAAGGAAGATAATCATACAATGAGGAAGAAAACTTTGGACAGTTAAAAAATATATGGTCTGTGGTTCCCCCATCTAAAAGAAGGGTCACATCAACGATACACACACACTGACAGACTGGCACAACACAATTGGTTGACTTGTAAACTTTTTTCAGGCGTATGTATCCTCTTCGGAGTTGTATATTCGTCTTCTCCTTGGAAATGTGGAGGAAAAATTTTCCTTTTATTTGAAGGCACCATAAATTATAATCACTTTCACTTCTTTCAGTCCGAACAGTTTTTGTTATTTAAAGCTGGCCAGTGTTTGAACTTTGACTGCCTTCCCACCTGATGGCAAGTAGCGATGCAGGCGTTGATGGTAAGCGTACCAGCTCGGTAAAAGCCTATTCACTATTGCCCTGAAGACAGCTATGGATAGAAAGTTCAAGGCTAGTGAGATTGGTTTTAACCGAGTTACGGCCAATGAGCCTTTCCGAACGTAACGTATGGAGACGCCATTTAGTCTAAGCCAGCCAGATGGCGTTTTGCAGCCGCAGCCCAGATATGACAGCGGTACTCCACACACGATTGATCTTGAGCTTCGTAAGTGATGTTCCGGATCATTAAAATTGTAGATCCGCAGATACGGATCCGGATACGGGATATTGGCTTCAAGATCCGCGGTTACGGATACGGATACAGATCTTAACTTTATATTCAGGAAAATCAGAATTTGATAATAAAAAATTGTTTTAAGAAACCACATTTTGAGACCACCCGTTAGGTTGACTGGCAGACAATGCCTTTGGCATGTCGGCCTTTGTACAAAGATTTGCTTTTTTGTGCATAAAGTTTTAAATAAATAAATAAATAAATACTATAGTAATTGTTTCAATATTTATTAGATGCTTGATTTATTTCCTTTATGTTCCGTACTATTGATACGTTAATTCACTACGATAAATGTTTGCAAAATAAAAATGTCAAATATTTTATTTTTAGGAATAACAAATAATTTGGTTGAAATTTAATCATATTTTCTTCACCTACATATAAAATTTAAACAATGTACTAAAATTCATAAGGTAAAAGATCCTTCAAATATGTAACGAATACGGATCTTTTTTCTCCGGCGGATATCCATCACTAGTTAAGACTAACATAAAATACACATGTATATTAATACATACATAATAACCACATGTATCTCTACGGAGAAAGCCGTGGCGTTGACATCTCGAAGGTTATAAAAAAATCTGCCAATTGTTTCTAAAATAACATTTATACGTTTACACATTAAGTTACAAATATTACAAGCTGTATGTAGTGAGGGACGGCAAGTGAATAGAAGGTCCACCTGATGTTAACTAATTACCTCAGGTTTCAGATCCGTTGTCAGCCTTTGAAAGAGGTTAACTTTGAAAGGCAGTAGTGAAACACTTCAAATCTATGCCAATATTCTATGATGCCCTAGTATTTCCTCGGTCCTGCTTTTCCCATTCGTGCAACAGGTAAGAGGAAAAGCTGTTACGTAAATCCAGTAAAATTGTTTGCGGCCACATCACCTCTATGTACTAATATCTCAAGTTAAGGTCGTTCAACCGTGTAGCCACTACGCCATAGACGCGTAGGTCATATCAGCACCGTAGCACAGTAAGGCTATTTAATCGTACATTACAGACTGACTGGATGTCGTTATGATGCGTAACAGGTCGGAAAATTGTGTCGTCGGAAGGAATTAAGTAACAATGGATAATATAATAATCACAAAATTAAATTTATTATTTAGTTTTTGTTATAAAAGATAATCTACATAATCATAAAAGTTAAGTTGCGTGCATATTGCAAAAAAAATAACATTTCATTTTATTTTATTTTGTAAAGTTTTAAGGGTGGAATGAAAACTATAACTTTATAATTTAGATTTAATATCAACCCGGCTTGAAACTTTATTTTGTGATTTTACAACGGTACACCTGACGGAAGTGATTATCAGATGCATAGCCAACGTTGAGAAGAGTGGACTCTGGGTATATCTTTCACCAGGAAAAATGTATGATAAAAAATATGATACTTACCTTTTGCTTTTTTATGCGACAAGCGAGCGGGCGGTTCATCTGATGTTAAGTGATAACCACCGTCTATGGGTATTTGCAACATGTAAGGTTTCTACGGCAAATAGGAAATATATATTATAATCTACATAAATCATTTAATATTATCTTTATCTCAACTGTTTAACTATGTCTTAAAAATAGTAATAAAAATTATAAAAAGTCGAACCCAAGTTTTCTGTATTCGCACCCAGTTTTCACTGATTGCCACGCCGACGGAAATCTCAACGGATTTTAACAACATTGTTCTTTCGCATTTTAAGCAATGCTTGGCCCGTCTATTGTTTTGTCCTTTACAACACACAAATAATTACAAATATCGTTTTACAAAGATAATAACGAGAGATGTAAGCATTACAGAAAATGATAGATTTTTATTAGTATTTTTTTTTATGTGAAAAGTTGTCTAACGAGCAGACGGTTCACCTGATGTTAAGTAAATACCGCCGCCCATAGACATTTGCTACACCCGAGGGTTGCAGATGCGTTGATAACCTTTTGAAAACTCACTCACCAGACGAAACGCGAAAGTATTATACTTTCACTTTACGCCGGTCTTCTGTGAGGTCGTGGTACTTACCCGGACGAGCCTGCCCATTCGTGCAACAGCCGAGGCTGCTGCGTGGCCCTACCACCGTAAGTAAATTATATTTTGAACATTGTTGAATGTTGTCTTACATTTTTCTAATGTGGCCGCCGCTCGCCATCGAACCAGTGACCATACTTACTTAAGCAACTAAGCCAATAATGTGTGACACATTAAAACATGAGATAATTATCGATACTAATAAAAACACGGTGTGCACGCTGCTCCACCGAAAACAATTTAAATTCGTATCATAACTCAAATCGCAGAAATAGTTGAATAAATTCAAGGTACGGCCTAATGAGGGATGTTGGTTTTGTGGGCAGGCGTATGGTAAACTACATAATTTTCTTGCGTTTAAAATGGTCAAAGTGACGCTCCTTTTCATATTGGCCTATGCAAGCTTCAATTCTGTAAGCATTTAGACCTTTATTTTCATTTATGAAGGTGGCAAACTGACTGGCGGTTCACCTGATGGTAAGAGGTAACCGCCGCCCATTTGCATTACCCGTGGGGTTGCACATCTTTCAACAAGGGAGCCCTGGCTACCTCACTCACCAGAAGAAACGCAGAAGTGTAACACTTCCACTTCTCTGCGGGTCTTCTGTGAGGTGGTGGTGCTCAACCAGAAGAACCTGCCCATTCGAGCAACAGAGAACACTGTTGCGTGATCCTACCACAGTTAATTTGACCTGAATTAATGCTTTTCAAGTTATCAGTTTCGCATGTGGACGAATTTCGAACTTCGAATTTTCATTTTTCATTAGGAAAATTTAATGTTTAGTAGCTCATATTTAACCTTTTAGGGACTGCAGGTGACGTCTGAACGGTTCGTACCGATATACACTAACTATAAATATTTGGAGGAAGTCAACTGTAACGTCAAGCGGCCCTCGAGGGGGGTTAATTACCAACTAAACTGCGAAATCACCTCAAAGGTTTGCTTCGCCGAAAACTTGACGGTTTGTATAAATAGATAATT